CAGGCTGTTTCCCCACTGGGAGAAATAACTGACCCAACCCGAAGGATTCATCAGTGCTGCTTATTTAAGTGGTTAGCTGAATTAACTCTTGAGTTCAGGGCCTTTCACCTACTGCAACCCTGAGATGACCTGCCTGAATTTGTATGTGAGAACAATCGTCTGCTTCACTTGTACTGGACGTAAAGAATAATGTAATAAACACGAAAATGTCTAAATGAAGTTACGACAGAGAGATTTCTGTTTGTACGGTCTGACGCTGATAAACTTCAGATCCATTTCATTAAGAAACAGCATGAAGCTTGGTTGTTAGTGAAAACGTTTTGCTACAGCTATGTGACCTCATTGTTTTCCTCATCATGTCCTGCACTCTTTAACCCAAGCGCCACACCTTACCTAAACCAAACCAAAATATTTCCAGTAAATGAAAACATGCGTGAACAGTAAACTCCAGAGAAAACGGTTAGGTCAGAATCCTTTTCTCCAGATGCAAAGTCTATTTTTGTAATCGTTTATTTGAACCGGGACAATGCACATTAAAAACACATACTTTTAAAAGACTTAAAATTGTCAAAACTCAAGAAATTGTGTTTTTCAAGGATGGTACAGTGGTGGTATGAATTTGGCTTTCTGTCAAACACCTTGATAGCTCTCTTGTTCTATGGGTTTCAGGTTTGTGGCACAAGCAAACGACCAGTTTGTCAAACAGTATTCAATGTGGGATAGAATCATACAGTGGAGGTCTGACTTTGCAGCATGGACAGTGAAGAAAGGTCTAATTTGTTTCAAATGTTGCAAGTTCAATTTAACGGTATTGGATACTTTCTTGATATGTTTCTTAAAAGTCAAGTTCGAGTCCAGTATGACTCCAAGATACTTGAAGTGGGAGATTAGTTCTAATTCTGCTCCGTTTAAAAACACATTGGATCCCTCGATTTTGACTGGTCGTTTACTGAACATCATGCATACTGTTTTTTTTGCATTTAACTGTAAGCAAATGTTGTTCAGCCAGTGTTGAACCTTGTCCAAAGCATTTGAGAGACAGGATGTGGTTATTTCAGTATTTTTTCCGTGTACAAAGATGACCGCATCATCGGCATACATTTGTACATTCAACTCAGGACACACATTAGGCAAGTCATTAATGTACAGAGAAAACAGTAATGGTCCAATAATGGAACCCCAACAGGGTTGACAAGGTAGGGGGATTTGGTACCGTTGACCAAAACACGGTACCACGGTGTTTTCTGTTCGATAAGTAAGACTTAACCCACTGTATTGAATCTGCCGAAAAATTGAAATAGGTCAGCTTTGTAAGGAGCACTTGGTGGTCAACAGTGTCAAAAGCCTTCCTGAGATCAAGGAAGACAGCACCTACATATGGGCTCGTGTCCAACATAGATTTAACCTTTTCCACTGATGTGTGTGAACATACCAGTGCTGCTGCTTTCAGGAGCAGTGGTTTTGTTGTTCAGTAGCTCTCCATTAGGGGCCTTCTTCCCGGGTTCATTGGAGGGAGGACTGGTCACCCCGGGAATGTTAGGCAGACCTCGAGGAGGAGTCTTGGCCACCGGAGAGCTGCGGCAACCCAGCAGGAACTTTCTGTCGTAGATGATTCTTGTACCTTTCCAGAGAAGAGGCCAGAAAGAGAGGGATGATGAGAAACCTCGCAGTTCAGACAGAGCAATTTCATAGGATGTTATGCTTCAATGTTTCTGTTCTATTTGCTCTTATGCCTTAGGTATCTAGTCTAGCGCTTTGGTCTAGTATAGCACTAACAATTATTATTGTTAGTAGAACTTTAATCCTAGATAATTAAGTCTGATCTAACATATTAGGCTTTCAAACTATTAAATGAGAAGAAGTGGCATACACAGGGACACAATGTGTACCCTTTATTTATGTATCATGTATAAATCAAACTTCAGAAGTAGAAAAAGGTACTAGCACTGGTAAAAGTTGAACTGCAATGGACCCCAGAGTCTAGAAATATAAACCCACTAATGATTTCAGTCTTATTGGGTTTGTACTGTACATCAGCTGTGCATATGAAACTCACACAACCCACAGGGGCGTTTATTTGGACTGTGAACGTTTGCAGACCCCCTGATCACATCTTGCATCTCAGTCATTCTAAAACAGTTAAATTGTAGATATGTTTTTTCATATTTATATTGTTACTTCTCCATTATATATTCATGTTCTTGGCTCTTGCAGAACTGTGCCTGTATTTTCATTGCATTTGTTTATTGTATGAACCAAACACTTGAGGGCAAATTCCTTGTATAACGGAAAACTTACTTGAAAAGAAAAAGGAAATTCTGATTCTGGTTACGCCACATGATCAATGAGCACCAATCCAAAGATGACTAAATAATACTTTTCTAAGTCTCTCATGTTTTTCATTATGATGCGTTCTTATTAAAAAGGAAAACAGTCTATTTAAAACGTCCTCTTAATTGAACACCAGTTAATAAACTCACTCTGGAAAGGACCAATCACAGCTTTAGTTGTCAGTGACATAAGACCACCACAAACGTCATTAGCAGCAGAGGACAGTTAGGTGTCGCTAGTTCACAGATCAGCTGATAAAACCTAAAAACAACACTGTAACACATCTCATTTCAAAGCTGTGATTTGAGCTTCTCCAACTCAAATAACTATAGTCATAATTACTTTATTGCATCAGAGCAGAGGTGGAAGAAGTACTCGGGGGCGGATCTAGACAAATATTCATGGGGTGGCAAGAGGGTAGAAGGAGATTTTGAGGGGTGGCATCCCCTGGCAGAAGTATGCTGATTTAATCGCAGTCATATCAATCAATGTTAACTTGGAAAGCCACAATATTTATATTTTAACTGAATAACATTAGGTGACATAATTGTGGCACATCAGTAAAGCCTTAAATATAAATATATAAGGTGGCAGACATAATTGAATAATGAATTTGAACTGAACAATAACAAATAAAAGACCAGCAGGGGTACCAAAGTACTGCTGCAATAAGTACATTAATTAACTGTCATCTATGTGTGTGTGTGAATTAATATGATATTAACAATCATATTATTCCTATCAGCTGTCAATCGCTGTTATGATTCACATATTCAGTGTTATTATTAAATAAACTATATTTGTTGGAGGAGTTAATGATGAATGTTCCTCAAGATGCTTGCTCACCCTCCTTCAAATTTGAATGACTATCATATCAAAATGCATAAGAATCAAAAGAACAGTTCAGCGCCCCACAACTTTATTGCAAACAGTTACAACCTTGACTTTACATCAGAAAGAACCAACATTAAAGAAGTGCATCAGTTAAGGTTAAAACACGTGTATTCAGCTAAAACATATACATCGCTGCAGTTATTATCAAGAGGAAAGCCCTACTGGCCAAGTTAAATCAAAGTTACTTTTTTTTGGCTACGCACAGTGTAGTTTTACACACATATCTTATTTTACTTTCTCAGGACTTAAAACTGTTTTTTGGTTTTAATGACTTTGTATACTGCAGGGTAGCTTGTGAATTTTACTCCAGGTGTAAATAAAGTATTATTTAAGTGTACATTTCACATTCATATGCTAACAAACTAAAGGTACCAAACAAACGCACAATATTTACCTCTGGATTGTAGTGGGGTAAAAGTAGGCCTACGAAGTAGCAAAAAAAAAAATACTAAAGTAAAGTACAAGTCTCTCAAAAGTCTAGCTAAGTACAGTACTTGAGTAAATGTACTTAGTTTCTTTACACCACTGCATCAGAGCCAGTAATTCCTTCTCTGTTTTTCAGTCAAAAATGTGCTAGTTAGCTTTAGCAGTTAGCTGATGCAATGCTAGCAGCTGGCTGTGCACAGTGACAGCAGCAGACCTCATGGAGTTAGCCTGAGCTTTCCTGCTTCACCCTCTGACAATACAGCTGTTTATTCATACGTAAAACTCCTGTATGACTGTAGGAAACGGCATATCTTATTATTGGCACATGTTTAACTTAGTACGTACCACCGGGGGTCGTGCTAAACAGGGTTCCTCCAGGAGTAGTGGAGTAATCGTGGGGCATGTGCGCCGCGTCGTTGATGGTCACCCTCCTGGTCGACGGGATGGCCTTGGCAGTGGTCTTCAGGAATTCAGTGGACATCTTTTATCTTATAGTAACACTATTTAACTAAATAGAATGAAACAGGCAGAAAGTACTGGTTTTCCAAAACAATAAAGCCACAGCGCGCCTGCTTTGGCTCAACAATACAGCTTCTTTCGGTTAAATAAAAATAAATAGCTCTTTTTTTAAGTGCAAATGATGAAATGTAGTATCTAAATTCGTGACATTACAACATGCAGTCTCACACACAACGTGTCCAGGTGCTTTCTTTAAAAAAGACCTGTGCACGCGTTCCTCTGCTTCTAGTCACCCTTCTCATGCACACAAAAAACACACAGACGGACAGACTGCAGAAAGGCTGCAGGGACAACACTCCTGAGATGGACAACATTAACTTGTTCCGCCCTCTGCTGGCACGTCATGTCTTTACAACGGGTTGGACAAAGTTCAAATCACCCTCTGTTATCTTAACAGAGCCTCAATGTCCTAATATAAACTTCATGATTTGATTCTTAGGTCATATAGATAGATAAAGGATGCTTTTAACTTCTTATTACCTTTCTAGAGGAACTGTTTAATTATATTGAACCTGTGCTGAACACAAGCGATAGCTGCCAGTTTGCAGGACTGCGTGTATTCAATGGATAGTGATAATGAATACATTACTTAACTTTTTTTTAAGACAAACATGGTTGAACCACTGGTGCATCAATTTGTCAACTTGTTGGTACTTTGTTGGAAGGCTCATAATATGGTTTTCTATTCATAGCAGCAGTATGCACATGATAAAGCCTAAAGCAGTTCAACATATAACACTTGTTTTGTTCCAATTACAGTATGATCATCAGCAGTTGCGTGCACGAGTGGATCATGCATCTCACACAGAAGTATATACACTGTAGACAAAGACATTTCATTTCTTTATTAATTTTTGTAAATGTTGAGCTGGTGTACAGAGTTAATTGTCAATAGATGTCCTCGGATTTCATTGGATTAAAAGGCTTTTACATGTATATTTTAAATTCATGTTTGACTCTCCATAACAATAAAAAAAAGCAAAACAAAAGTTTAAAATACCCACAAGACCCCTGTTTTATCCCCAGGTTGCAGGCATTACCCAGAACTCAACAGTCTCTTGGTAGCTACAGCTGTATGATGATAAAAGTACATCCATAACATAATTAGAATCCCAGTTGACAAGTAAGGGTGCATAGCATTCTAAGTAAGTAAATATATATATATATATATATATATATATATATATTTTCATATATTTTATATATATAGCCTTTTTATTTTAAAAACATTTTCTGTGCATGTGCGCAGTTGCATTCCTTAGTATTGAGTAATATGCTATTGCGTTAATAATGTCTTCAATCCATTCTAAAGGAATATACATGTGTTCTCTAGTTTTTGCAACAGTTAATATTTTTGCATGAACTTGGTGCATGGCATCATCTCCTTTGTCCCTCAGTGCAGGGCTCTCCATTGTTCATTTTTGTGATGCAACCACTCTTCCTCTGTTGCACTTAGTTGGACTCCTCCTTTCAAACTGTGTTCACTGTCATCATGTGTAAGCCTTATAATCGGCTCAGTCTTATATTTGGTAAAAGGGGCAGAAATAGATAGGGTTAGGTTGTGTTGAGGAAAAATGCTTGTCATCTTGAAAGACTAACCGTCGGAGGCACTAAAAGCCTTCCCGCAATAGTTCCATCGAACTTCAAAGTGCTCCATTTTAGTGTGTTTTCATCCGACCCCCTCCCCGAGCTCAACCCTGACATCAGCAGCAGCTCCATAAATGGCTCCTGCTTCAGAAAGCAACCCAATCATACCTTAATTATAAGCCCTTGAAGAGCAAACCGTGCATAAGGGGTTATACAATTACACTACTGTGTAATCTCTTTTGACATCTAAACTTTTTTAAAAACACAATAAAATAAAAATAAAATCTGATGCAGGGTTATTTGTAAAAACATCCAAAACCTATTTTAGGTTTCTCTCTATAAATCTCTTCTATTTCATGGTTTCTATGAATGTTTGCAATGAATAATGATGATCAACAGCAGTTAATGAGTTGAAACAACAGAGTTAATACCCTATCCTCTACTAGTGTACACAGCCACAAAGATGACTACTTTATAACAAGACTTATAATATACCATGAATTTACATTAATCATCTCTGGCTGTGAAGCCGTACTAAAACAAACACATTTTGATTGGTGGTTATTGCAACATTTTTGTGACGGACATTTTTTCCACAAGAAAGCATTCAATGTCTAACATAATGTTTGAAATAAATGCATGTAGATAACAGATATCATGTGAGATGGCACGCGTATTGAGGTAAATCAACTTTAAAAAATATATGTGAATTAGAGTTATAATCTCAGAGCTTTTGCTCTTTGTCCATTTGTAATATTACTTCCTGTAATATTATCACAACTTTAGAAATGTCCCAATATCAAGGACTGAATATGTGATATTAAAATCACACACACAGCACACACTCACACACACAAACACACATTCAATAGGATTTCTTTCAAGGTGCATATGAATGTAAATAAGATTTGAAAGCTAGTACTAAACATACCTACATTTCATAGTGAAAAAACCGACACTGGGCACTTTGCAGATGGGTCAGCTGGTATGAGGTCATACCAATATTTGCCCAGTGTTAGTCAGTTTATTATAATGTTGCAAAGTGATGAAATGTAGAATACTAATGTACTGACATCATTCTGCATGAAGTGAGGAGTAGCATAAAGCTGTGATTGTAAGCCTGAGCTTTGGAAGAACATGATCTGCGATCGTAAAATCCTCTCTGTCACTCAAACACATGCACACAAACAATCCTTTCCTTTTATAAGCAGTTATTGCTTCTTCTGATGTACAGTTAAGACAGTAAATCATGACAAAAAAAGACATAACACCAAAGAAAGGAGTGAAACGAGAGACACGCTTTGGGAGGGGCCAGGCTCACAGTTGCGGGTCAGTATTACAGTTTCTCATCACAGTGATTGGCGACTGACTGTCTTTGCTACTTTCCAAACATTGCCAAGGAGACAAACATGAAACGTCCTCGACCCTCGATCCAACACTTTCCTTTCTCCAGCTAACTCTGTTTCCCAGTCAAACCAGTGCTACATTATTACCAGCATTTCAGTGACTTTACTCTCATCAAGGGACATCTACTGGTGGGGGTGAGATGGTCTATAAGTGCACCTTATGTGTGGTGGTGTCAAATACTGCATGATGAGGTCAAACACACACTGCTACGAGCTGAATGTGAGATCCTGCCCCCTGCTGGAGGAGGACAGGACTGCTACATCTACTGTGAGAGGCTGACTGGAGGGGGGAGAGGTAGGGCTTTAAGGGCAAGATTTAGGGTAAGGGTATTGTGGTTTTGGTTCAGATAGACACCTGATTAACAGAAACCTCACATTTACGGCACACTGGGGACAAGAAAAGGCGGAGGAGTGGGATAGTAGAGTAGGTTAATCTGTCCCTCATCATAAATCTCTTTTTCACCTTCTCCACAAGGCAACCCACTCTGAGGGAAGATTAGGGAGGCAGGTTTACTGCAGAAACCAGCCTCCCAAAGCTCGAAAACCCCACAGTACAGTTAACTGACCTACAGTATGTCTTCCCTCTACAGTTTGACATGTCAAAAGCAAAGGGTTGAAGCACATGAAAAGCACAAAGAAACAAACAACCTGACACACAAAAATGCAACGTTTAAAAACAGGCATAGCGACACGACATTTGCTTGTTCTTGTACCCACAAAGATCTCAGGATATATAGAATAATATATAGGTTCAGACCGATGGAACAAACCAAACAAGAAAAACGGGGAATAATTTCTTATGTACCTGAAACAGCAGCATCAGTGGCATCGCATAAGGATCTTAAAACATAAACAACACACGTAACACACAGTCAAGTAGAGCATTTTAGTGCATACGATATTATGTACAACACTGATATCCTTGGGTGATAATTGTAGCTTTACTGGACTTTGAGAGCACTGGGACAGGTTTGAAACTAGTTTGGGGGCTCTTAGCTGGAAGAGTGTGGCAGAGAGGAGGGGGAGTAACCTGTTGCCTAGAGATTTTGTATTTCTCAGTATTTTAGTCTCCCCTTTTCTTAAATTTGACTGATGAAGTTTTCACCCGTTGGTTTAAAAACGTGCCAGTTATTGACCATACCCAACATTGCATGCCTATCCCATACAGCAGTGTGTCCTCCCCATCCCTCCCCACCCCTATATTCCCTCAGTATTTGTAGTTAAAGACAGGCCATGCAGCAGCAGTCACTCATGCTGATACAGATAACAGGAAGCACATTTTGGTTGCTAGTTTTTTTTTGTTTTTTGTTTTGTATACGAAATCATGCTTCTAGCCTATAGTAGATGTATTTTTTCCCACAGTTTCTTTAAAAAAAAAAAAGGTAATAAAAACTACGAGTAATTCTGTATCCTTCTCTTCCAGTGCGTGCTGATAGTCGGCAAAGCCGCTATGGTTGTGGCGTTGCCGTTCATTTCTGTCTGTTTGCCTTTTAATGTGTGTTCTTCCTCCTGTCAGCTGCTGCTGGTCATGTGTCCATGTAGGATGGGTTTGGTGAAGGGGTTGAATCCTGTGGAGAACTCTGTGGAGACAAGGAAACACGTTGATTTAGATACAACCTACCAGGAATCTACGGAGCAGACATGCAGGTTGCAGTAAGTCAATGCAAAAGTGAGTATATGCAGTCTTTCAATTTGCCTTGGCTAAACTGTCCATATTGGAAATTCCCAACAGTTAAAGCTGAACTGAATTCCTCTCCAATTCTGATCTAGTTATACTTTATAAAACAGCACATTGTTTCTGCAGAAGCATGAAGCAAAAATGGTTGGCAGAAGTGGTTTAACATTCAGTAGGGAGTCACTTGACGTATCAGTAATATCAGGAATGTCATGGCCTTTATGTTAGAAAGGGCAAGTCACAGATGCACACACACTCGCACACACACTGCAGTGGCTCCAGATAGCAACTGGCTTTGCAGCTTTGACCTTGGAGCTGACACATTACAAGATCCTTTTTGGTTGCTTGTTTTGCTGAGTGCTCACTGTGCCAACCCTTTTTCCAGCTTGTTACAGCATGCATGAAGAAATAAACTGGCCTGACATTATTTATAGCTGAACAATGATGCTCTACTTGCGTCAAACTTGCGTTGTTTGTCTGTATGGCATTATATTGAGTGCACATAAACTAGTTTTTACAAATACATAAATGACACATTTTAGAGAAATTGTTATCACACAAAGAACAATTTAATTTAAGCAGACCAAAATCAATTATGTGCCCAATGCGTTTGATTTTACTCACCAATATAACTCCATACATTTAAAGTAAAGCATTTTGCCAAAGGCGAGCAGCCTCAACTTCTATTGTTTAGGTTGTAAAAACGGGGAGGTAGGTATTGCAAAAATAAAATGAATAAGGAATAAAGTATCACTTCTGCATTAATGCTGACAATTTATAACACAATAAATTACGTTTAAGACATATTTAAAAATGGTTTTCATGGAAATTCCCCATTTTCTGAGACTTTAATTGAGTTGCTCAACTGATCCGACAGTCTTCAATCCTTATTCTTTTTCTGTGTTTTATAATTTTGTACCCTTTGTTACACTGAACATTTATTTTGCTGTGCCAGAATCACGTTACAAGTCATTAGTATTGAATTAAAAGGTACATTCAGATGCATTTAACCCAGAGAGACTGGATTAAATGGTAGCCCACAGGTCAGACGGGGCGCTGTGGGTCAGTCCCGTACCTGCAGGGACGCAGCACTCACTCTGCCTCATTGCTTAACTCTCCGCAGACTGGCACATTTCACTATCTGAGCACCTTTCTTCACATCCACAGAATCGGGCTACATCAGGGGGGAAGGGGTTGGCAGCAGAAGAGGTGCAAGGGTTGAGAAGAGGTGGGATGAAGAGAGCCGAACAACAGGTTGAGGGAACATTAGTAAGGGAGAGTGAAATAAAGGAGACATGACAGATGAGGAAAGGAAACAGAAATGGAACAACAGGGGAAAGAAGCAGTCCCACAAGAAAAGAGAGGACAGGAAATGAACAGGAAAAACAGATGTAATAGAAGTGTGAGAAACAAATACGTGAAGGAAGGGGACAGAGGGGAAAAAAAAGAAATGATGTATAAACAATCGAGCAAGGACAAAGTGATTGGGTGGCAGTTGGAAAGACAGTTGAAGATAAGAGCCCATCAGACAGTCTTTGGGTTTCAGAGAAGACCTGCGTCAAATAATATTTACAAACATATTTTTACAATAAATGTTTCATATTCAGATGGGTGGGATTTGACAACAAAGGACCCTAATATTCTCAATTGATTTCATGTGTTTAATCATCTGCCACATTTTGCAGGTAACATTGAAAAAAGATTGTAAATAATATTTGACCCAGCTCTGACACAGAGAGTCTTGCATGTTTGAGTGATACAGCACACAGTCACAGTTGAAGGACTATAAACTTTAATGAAGGCAGAAAAGACAAGTGTCAGTCATTGAGATAACTGATGGGGACAAAATGGAAAAATATAGCCACTGCATGGAGCCACAATCAATTCACTCAGTCATTAATGTATAATAACAAACAATGATAAGTGTAGGTGCAGCTTAGTGATGACTAAAGTGATGAAAGTCTGAATGGACCGGTAAACTGTTAGCAAAAACAGCACCAGAGCAAAGGGAACTCATTTGTTCCTCCTGCATGCAGAAGATGAACATGAGGTAATAATGTTTAGGTGAAGACTAATGTAACAGAATGTCAGCAGTCAAACAAATAACCAAACAAACTTTGCATTCAATCCCTACTCCTGATTTAGGACTTAATAATATCAAAGGACACAAACTGTTCTCAGCCTGTTGTGTTGAAGCTCATGCAGGTTATTCAAGGGCTGTCGGGAAATGCCTGGGATACCACGATGAGACTTTCAAGCTTACTTCAGAGCCCCATAAACTAGCTGTACATTAAATCAGACAGGCCCTCATCAGATGGTCAGCTGCCTGCAGATCAGAAGCCCACCTTGCTGCTGTCCCGGCCCAGGATGGCGTAGCTCATGAACTGCTCTGCATCAAGCTCCAGCTCGTTGTCTTCCTGCAGAGAACCATCCAGACTCACCTCCTGAACCCCCTCCTCAACTGAACCCTTCCCTCTGCGCACAACCTTACGCACAATCTATCAGATACACACATGTACACAAGGGGGTGGGAGAGAGTGATGGATGGAGGCAGAGAGTGGGAATAAGGCAGTGAAAAGACAGAGTTGGTGAAATATAAAAGGAATGGAGGAAATGTCTATATTTGTGGATACAAACAGTCTAATAGAGTGATACTTTTTATGATGAACCAAACATCAACATAATTGATTATCAGCTTAATAATCAATTATGTGGAGAGATGTTGAGTGAGTATTGTGACACTGACAAAGTAGAAAACAATCTGAGAAAACAGTGTACAAATATGTTGCAATGGCTGACCTTTTTTGTGACAATGTTTCCATGTTCATCTGTGAACTGTTCCTCGCTTACATGCTCCCCAGGAAGATCTTCAACCTCATCGCCCTGCGGTAATACAAATATTTGCATCCTTAAATAATGTTTTTAAATAAATTGCACTTCCAACATTAAGGTGCAACTGCTACAATATATGACTATCCACAGTACAAAAGTAAACTCAGGAGGATATTATGGCTCTAATGCAAGTTAATATAGAGGCTGTGTCATTGCAGTGTAATAACGTGCATGCCATAAACTCCTCCACTAACTGGAAACATGACACAGGGGTGAGGGGTTAGAGGGGTTGTTTGTAGAAGCATGTACATTAGACAGTTGGAATCTGTGGTGTTTCTTAGCGACATTAATAATTACAGATGATAAGGATCATGTCAATGCTGTACCCTACTAATTTGCAGCGTGTCTACAGAGCTATATATAAGCTTAAAGGCATTCCTACAGCCAGAGGAGGACAAAGGCCAGTCCGGCCTGTGCAGACCAGAATAAAACATGTCAACAGAGATACATTAGGAAGTGTCCAAACGTGTTGAGGCTAACATAATCTATATACATATGTAACAGCAGAAAATACCTTTAGCAACATTTGCATAACAAATTGTCGTTAGTCAAAGTGAAATAGAAGGTGAGTTATTATTATTCTGTATTCCTTCAATTCCCTTTTCCTTATTGCCATACACAATGTTTCCTCATGTACAGAGTGTCCTCAGTTAATCCTCACTGCAGCTTTTGTTACACCCACTCCACTCCAGTGCAGTAAAGCCTATACAACCATTTACCCTATTACCATGAACCTATCCTGTATCACTGCAAATACACTGCTTCCTTAAGCCTTTCACCAAACACCATCTCTCCCCTGTTTCCTGCATGTACATATCCTCAAATTGGGCTCCACTGTCCTCTAGCCCTCGCCCTGTACCTTGAGGATGACTCTGCGGCGGACCACTCTGGTGGTGACGTTCTCCTCTTCATCGGCCACTCCCTCGCCCTCCCCGAGCTCGCGGTCCAGCTGAGCATGTATGTAGGTGAGCACAGACCGCACGGAGCCGCTGGCTATGTGGAGGACATTCTGACAGCTGATGACCAGGAAGGCCAGCAGCACGAAGCTGAAGAGGAGCTCTGTTACCAGGGCCCACATCGCCTCGCTCTGATCCCCGGCAAATCAACACAGAACCACCCACGATAATACAGGCCCTCAGTGAGTCCTGTTTCCAATGCAGCTCAGCAGGCGCAAAAGGCAACAGCTGCAGCGTGCGGCCTTCTATCACGGGTTCAGTTAAAGTTGGATTGTTTGTAGTTCATGTCCTTCCTCCATTAGTTGTGGCAGTGGGCATTTCCCTTGGGTCTCTATTCCTTTTCCTTCCCCCAGGCAGGCCAGGAGTATCCACTCAATGACATCAAATCCAAGCAAACGCAACTTTGGGAGTCTTCTATTCCCACCTCTCTCTCTTTCTGACCATGTGATCTGTGGGCTTTAAATACCTCTAGCTTCTCCGCTCTGCTCTGTTTGCTGTGGTAAGAGCACTGAGAAACTTGTCCCCTGACTTCTTCAGGTACTTTAACTACAAACTATTTCTAATCCTTAAACCTCAGTAGTTTCTCAAAAAACCATCACTCTGCAGATACAATTGTGCAACACACTGCCTCTATACTCTTGCTTAAGTGTTGTTTTCACCAGAATGAACAACAAATGCCCTAAAGGGAACTTTTCATTGCTGCTCTTGTACAGTTTTACAGCTGATTTTGTCAGTGTTGAGTGCCAGAGTAAGTTAGCACATGGAAATGTTTGGAGTGGGGGGGATCATGTAACATGAGTGGGACAGTGAGAATGTTTGCTATATTTGGCCCGACTGTTTGTGCCCATCTTAGGCCCTAGACTGTGTGTGTGTGTGTGTGTGTGTATGTGAATGTTTGATGTTTTTTTCTAGGATGTATCATTGATCTAATCTAAATCTGATTTGTTCAATGTTGAAATAAGTTTATAGGCATTGCATTACAGCAATTCAAGTCTCATTTGTCGCTCCCTCCAAAGTGAAAAATCGTATAACTTTTCACATTACACAGTAACATGCCTCTTATTTGGTATGGGAGGAGCGACACACTCACCTGGCCCTTCAGTCGCACGTCATCCCAGGCCCTCAGCTCTGGTACCCTGTGCGGGAAGCCCAAACCCTTCTCAAATGGCTGGGTACCTCTGAAGTGCCCTCGTAAGATCTCCGAGTGCCCCATGTCCCTCACCGGCTGAAGTAAGGCCTCCTGGGACGCGTGGGACGGGTCTCCATCCACAGCGTTACATACTGATGATATCATGCCTTCCATGGCCTGCCTGGGTTTAGGTTGCGTGCCCACCCAGGCCTGTGTAGGGTCAGTGACAGGGATCCACCCCGGGCCTGACTGTTCCTGCAGGTAGGAAAGGAAAGAGCCTCCACCACCTCCGTTTCCACCATTACCTGACCTGGAAGGGGAGAGTGGATCAATGTGGAGATGGTACATGTAATTTGTATGCTTACGTTAAACAACTATTAATAACCCCTTAGCGGTCACCTCCTTTGTAAGAAAGACAAATCTGTTCACCACTAACTCACCTGTCTCCATTCCGGTCTGCAACACAGCTCAGACCAGGTGACTCACTCAGCCGAGCATACACCCTTTGCTGTCCTGCAACAAGAGAAAGCCCTTCCTCTGAGCCCGTCCCTCCTCCTCCTCTTCCTCCTCCTCCTCTTCTTCCAGCTCCATCTCCGCCAGCCGTACTTGTGACTGCTGATACCTCCGAACTTGCCCCTGACCTCTGACAATTGTTCAGCCCGTTAAGATTGATCCCGGCGATGGTGCCCACAAGCGAGGCTGGTGTTGCAGTGCTGAGCGACTCAACGCCCATCTCTGAATCGTCTTCGGGCAGCTCAATGGATCCACTCAGCACCCCAACCCCTCCGCTGGCTGCGCTGGCCTGACTGGCCGGCCGACCCAGACTTCCGTACGGCAGCCCCAGGAGACCCTCTGAATCGTCAGCATTGCTGCACTCCAGCGAGGAATCCTCCACAGGCACCAGGGACGGGCTGTTGCCTGTTGGCCACACCTGCACATCAGACATCTCCATGAGGGTGTCTTCTTCTGTGGTGGCAATAGGTGCACAGTCCAGACTGGAGACTTCCTGCCAGTAAGGCTCAGCGCCCAGCGGGGAGGGCAGGCTGTACTGCATGGAGGCCGGTGAGAGAAGCTCGTCCTGCACGAGCCCATAACCTGGAGCGAGACAGAGAGAGGCACACTGACACCCGGCCCCCCGCCTCGCTCCCCACCTCACCCCCACAGCACCGGGACCACGGGAGGGGGGTAAGCTCCCCTGCCCAGGAGCTGGGGAACTAGGGGGGAGTGGGGGAGTAGAGGAGGCTGAAGGGACAAATGGGAGAGAAGTGGGGAAGGAGAGAGGGGAGGGCCAAGACAATAGGAGCTAGAATAAAGGTGCAAGGAGCTTAGGACAAGAGGGCAGCTTTTAGAAGAGGGTTTGTCAAGCTCGACCAGCCAGCACTGACTGTGAGAGCAGCAGCGGCAGCAGCAGCAGACACAGCCGGACGCACTGACTGACACTTTGTTTTGGACCCAGCAGTGACTGATGCTGCTCTGCTGGCTGCCACCTGCAGGAAGCTGTCAGGAATCAATGCCTCTGCCCCAAACCCGGGGCGATGACACACACCTGTCCAGCAGGGACGCACACTTGACACACATACACATGCCATAAACACACTTGCTCACTCTCATACGATCACACTCATACTCAGATATGCATGCATTCAAACCCACTCGGAAAAACAGGCAGGTTAATATCATTGTCAGGCTGGATAGCATGCACGCAGGCAATCTCATTCTCTCCTCACACACACACATCAGCTCACTCCACCCAGCTGCTTGCACTCATATTGACACATATTTATTATAATACATTCAATGTAACACAGCTATATAAACATATAACGTAAGGTACTGCTGATATATGCAAACACATACACTTGATTTTCCTTCTGATGTGAAAGTCACATGGTTGCTGCCTCAAACATTGATTTGAATGAGTATTTCAAGTGCAATTATATCAATTAGAAAAACTGCACATCGATAATGGGCTTTGGACTCAGGTCACTCCTTCAACTGTCTTGAACACCCTTTGTGACAATATCTTTCTCTTTGTAAAAGCAGACCTGGCATGATAGAGCACAGTGTCACAGCAGCAGGAATGTTTTTTTTTTATTGAGATAGTAACTTTACATTGCATATAAGGGAAGCTAAATCCAGTTGAAAACTATGAAGAATGCACTATATACACAATATGCCTTATTTCATGCTAAATAGATAACTTAAAAAATGTTGAATAGTTTAAGTAAATGATGAATGGGAATGTATGTTAACAAAAGTGTGAGTGGCACCATGACTAACACTACAGGATGTCTTACCAGGAACTACATTAACCAGACGATGAAATAGGAGATGTTGTGCAGGGCAGAGTATGTAGATAAGAGAGACAGAGAGAGATGTAGGGGTGTGTGTGTGTGTGTGTGTGTGTGTGTATTCTCATAGTGATGAGAAAGCTGTGCAGAGCTGTAACTTGATTCATGGTTGGCAGTGTTTCTGTTGAGGACTGCTGAGTGTGCAAGAGATATTTGTGACACCAAGCAGCCAGAAGGACCTCTTGTCCTACTTTCAGCCCTTCTGTCGGTGTGTCTGTGGAAACTAGCATTCTTATATTTTACATTGTTCATTTTGTGCTTTGTTTATTAAGGTAAAACACAAAAATCTGCCGTAAAACAGCAATGACTCTGGATTCATCCGTTGCTGACAGAATATCTAATTGTAAAACCTGAACACAGAACAATGATAATGAGTAAATAGTTTAAGTTTGGAAATAGTAATAGGACCGCAGGATCCTTGAAAGATTAGGAGGCCCTAATCACAAACGCTTGATTGCCCTTTGGCTACACCTTAAATGCTGCATTTAATAATAGTATTATACAGTAAGCTGCTGCAAATACGGTTAGAGCGATAATAATATATTTCAAATCTAATTACAAAGAAGTGAAACCGATCTCCTATTTTCAAATACTTGAAGATGAACTTCTGCATAAATTGTTTGTATATCTGAGGAACATGACCGAGTCTATTTTAGAAGTAAGAGTAACAACTGTAGTAGTAAGTATTTCTCTATGAGGTGAAGGACCATGTGTGAATTAAAAAATATATTTCTTTTTAGTCTGTTTATAAAATAGAAAGACAGACTATGATAATATATCAACATCTATGTTGTGTTACGAGTGTGTTTGGGTGACACCACACAAACTACAACATGACATTTTGTCTGTTATGAATTAGATAATGAAAGAGTTTGTCAGTCCCCTCTCTCCATGTTAGAAGATGAGGCAATGATGGTGAAAGAAAACAATTAAGGGAGTGGGCAAGTGTGAAGTAGGAAAAATTATTGCCTGACCCCACTGATTATAATACACAAGTACAGAAAAAAATAGCAGTGAAGCGTTAAAGTACATGTAAAGGAAGTATACTTATTTTGTCCATATACCAAATACTGATACACTGGTCACACATGTATATGGAGGACACAAAACAGTTACGGTAGCCTATATAACATAAAACACATATATAGACGCTCACACACAGACTTATAGATGAGCTCACATTAAATAATAAGCACATTTACAATAAGGGAAGGGACAATATAAAATTGACCCTCGAACAACACCCACAAAGACATTTAAAACGTATATATTGCACAAAATAATTACCGTAATCAGATGGACACAGTTTACATTGAACCAGTGACATACAAAAACAACCACAACATTCATACATGAAGAGAGCAGACGCAAATTCACAAAAAAGGTTTGTGGCCTTTTTTACTCCCTATGGGACAGATCCCTGAGGAGGAAGAGACAGACTAGTCATTCTCATTATGCATGCCATGCAAAAACACATGTCTGTTGGTCAAGCAGCATTAAAGGCCAATGCAGCATTTAAGTCGACATCTCCAACAAGCCAGTGTTACTCCTGCCCCTCATCCCAGTGTCTCATGCAAACACAAGGGGGATGAGCGATGAAAGTCGGCCTCATGCACATGCAGACAGGCAGGAGGACAGGGAAAGAAGGGATGGGAGAAGAGGGAAGGACAGAGTAGGATAAAATAGAAAAGGGCAGCAAGAGAGGAATATAAAATAGGGGGATGATCACAGACAGAAACAGCGATAGAGAGCGAGGGTCACCTCCCCCCTCCCAGTGGGTGCTGAGTACAAAGTCTGTGTGAGGTGTATCGGTCACAGAGCGGACACTTAAAAAGGTGGGGTTTTCAAGAGCACAAAAATAAAGAAAATGCACGACTAGTCGCCAAAAAAAGGAAAAAGATAAAGATGTGGGTCAGAGGTCAACATGAGGTTGGCATGAGTTCAGAGTTCGGAGAGGAGTGAGAAGGAGGAAGAGTAGGGCGGCTAGGCTGCAGATGACATGTCCAGAGAAACACAGAGAGAGGGACAGATTCACAGGGAATGAAAACAGGGCTCCCAAAAGGACATTCAACATTAGCCCTAAAAAGACTCAAACTTCTCCACATGCAGCCACAGGCAGAGAGAATTTAGATGTCCTAAAACAAAGGTCTTAAAGAATAGGTCTTCCTGAATCATGATCTAATGTATTTTTTACGTTTACTAACCTAGAAAGTGAAGTAGATTAGAATAAATAAACTAGAACTATGAGGATACGGATAAGTCAAATCCTAAAGACATTGTTTTAAAAAAAGAGGGGAAGACTGGAAAAGTCAGAGAAAGATATGAAGGCTGCAGTATAAGTGACTTCTCTGGTCTACTCTAGCTCTGCTTTTTCTGTTTAACTCCTAAAATAAAAAAACATTATAGAACTGAACCTGACTTTACAGTAAGTAGCAGTTCTACACTTTGGGGTATACAATAATGTGCTTTAGTTGCAAAGGGTTGTGAGAAGATCAATGCCACTTTCATAATTATGGTCAACCCAGTCTCACGGCATTTCGTGTTATAGTCACGAAATGTATTTAATCTATTGATTCGTGTTCACCAACACGATTTTTGCATTGTTTTCGTGTCACACAGAACGATTTTAAAAGCAATGTATTTCTATTGGTAGCATAGTTCGTGCCTGCACCACGTCTTTTTGTCCGGTCGGGTCTTGGAAGACCGGAAGTTGTGTGGTTCATAAAAACATGTTCTTACTCAATATCTTACCCTAACCCTTTTATTTTAAATTGTATAATGTCGGAGTTTTTTTGCCGTTCGCAAGGAAAATAAATGGGGCTCAGAAACTCAGAATACTGAAATCTGTAATTTGTTATTATTTGGTGCAGGCACGAAACATACTACCAAAAGTAGCTTTTAAAATCGTTCTGTGTCAGAATACTGAAATCTGTATTTTTTGTATCTCTTTTTCCTTCAAATGTGTTATTATTTACATTGCTTTTAAAATCGTTCTGTGTGACACGAATATTTTTTTAAAAATCGTGTTGGTGAACACGAATCAATAGATTAATTTCGTGACTATAACACGAAATGCCGTGAGACTGTGTTGTTATGGTAACTATGAAGCTACTGCTAGCAGCGGTTAGCTTAGCTTAGCACAAAGACTATAGGGAAACAGCTAGATTGGCTCTGTCTAAAGATCAAACATCCACCTACCAGCACTTCTAAGTCAACTAACGCTTTAACGTTTTGCTACACAAATTCAGCTAGCGTGGACGAGACACAATAACGGTTTTAATCTCTTTTCAGTCTTTATGCTAAGCTAAACTAACCAGAGGCTAGCAGAAGTAGCTTCATATTTACCACACAGATATGACAGTGGTATGGATCTTTTTCATCTAGAAAATTTGCAAATTTCCCAAAATGTAAAAATGTAAAACTGAACAAAAATAATTTGTTAAATAAATTAAGGAATGAAACATTAATGCAAAATGAGAATTCAAATCTAATGCACAAGGAAGTTGAAAAATGCCACAATATTTATTCTAAAGACGTGGCCTTGAGGTAATTTGCAATTCCTTCGAGCATTTATAGACTTATTTTTTCTTTTCTTGGTTTGATTGATTTATTCATTTAATTATTTCTTAATTAAACTTGATGAATTTCTTAATTAAATCACTTCATACGTATTGCCTAAAAAGTCAGTTTTCGTCTTCTACTTTATCTCTGTGCCTTTGGGACATACTTAATCTGAACAGTAAATCATAAACCTCTTGAAACCCATCACTGTGATCATTGTGAGGTTAGCCGAAAACACAATATCCAGGTTTTCAAAGCGTCGCCACATATTTACGCAGAACGTCAAAGCAGGAAAGGCCTTTGGGAGGCAGGTAGCCAGACAGATAGACAGACAAGACAGATACGGTTACATCAGATTCACTGCAGCTGTGATCTGAACATCTCCCTTTTCACCCTTTGACCCTCATGGTCATATTTCTATGCATTGTTACATCTCCAAGTATTGCTCCAGTTTTCACAGATTAGGACTCCTGTCACCTGTCAGACTGACTCATCGTCTGCACTGGATACAGAGAGGAGAAGCCAGTCCAGAAAGAAGGGGAGCTCACACCAGTCCAGAGGTGAAAATGGAGTCAATAAGATGTAGAGTATGCATGTGTGAAGGAAACCATGAGGAAAAGGAGTAAAAGACTGAGGACTGACAATTGGTAAGGAGGTCAGTTAAGCTAGGCTATACTTACAGTTGGATCTAGTTTACTGACCATGTATGACAATGTGTTGCTTAATAACAATTCACTCTAAAATGTAAGCCCTCTTAATGCTATAAAAGCACATCAACTATTGAATAATCTAATTATTTGACATGAACATACAAATTAACAAAAATATCAACAATAATAACACAACAAACTATAGATTATATAAATATTAATTTATCTGTAAGGTGTTTTGCTCAAAGGCTATTAAGTAATGGGATTAATGCAAACTATAGAGATTCAGTTTATTTATTTTTGTATACTTCACTCTACTTCCCATCATATTGATGAATCCGTAGAGAAATGCATAACGAAAGGCACTACAGAGGTTGTAGCACAGTAGGAGTGTCCTGAGTCCCTCTGCATGTTGTCCTGCAAAAGTTTGACGTTTGTGGCAGCTTTCATTCACAACGGCATCACGGGGGAATACATGATAGGACAAAGGGACAGCAGTCAGAATCAAGAGGGAAACACACTTTACTTTCAAGGGATAATAGGGAGCGAGGTGGTATGTTTATTTGAAATATGGCTCAGCATCAAAGCAAAAGGGACATGGGGGAAGGGGCTGCAGTGTGGAATTTGGAGAGGGAACTTACCATTGGTCATACCAGGGGAGAGGTTGTCTATATCGTGTCGACGTCTGCTGAGGTCCCGGGATTGTCTCACAGGCTGCGGTGGCTGGCCCTCCAACATGTTGACTATGTCCATACGGTCAATACTCTTCAGAGCTGCATACAAGCTCTCCACTGCAGAAGACCCATAAGGAGGGGAACAAGCAGACAACGGAAAAGAGAAGGAAGGGAAGGGGGATTCCAGGACAAACAGCAACACCATTACAACTTTCTGCCTTCAATTGGGTTCAAGAGGTGTAAATTAGGTAAGCCCTGAGAGGCAGGTAAGATTCAGGTGATACATTTTCTATGTCTAAACGTTTTCTCACCTGTCTTAATGACTTAAAGGTGCAATTAATAACATTAATAAGATTCAGCCAGATGGCAAAATCCCTCTCCCCCTTTGATTGTGTTCACGTCAGAACACCGGGTTTGCCAGTTTGATGCACAACCGGAGTTTAGACAGTGTCACTTTAGACTCAAAGTAAGCTAACCAGCAAACCTTAGCTTTTAGCTTACTGATCAAGAAGAAAAATGGCCACTTCGTGGTTTTTCAGCTTTTGATACTTCATCAGCTGACTTAAACAAGCTAAAGCAGAACCAATGTTCACACCCAGTCTTATTCCTACTTTAGTCACTGAGCAATTTGGTTTTGGAGAGAAGCCGGGCGCATACCGTCAAAATAATAAATGTTTACTAACTGGCATGTTACAAAACTTGCTAGTACACGATAGGAAAAGAAAAAATATCCTGACAAAAAGCACCAGCCAAAACGTCCCCGCATCAGACCTAAAAAATCAATCACCGGATATTTTTCCCTGTTCGCCTCTCAGGGCTTCCATAATTTAGGTGACATGATGAGAGAAATGCACAGTAATTTCAGATGTAATGGACTCACTCTTGGCTCTCTTGCCCTCGCGTGTGGCCCACAGGTTGAGCAGCGCAGAGCTCTGCTCCAGCAGCGAGTTGGGATTCTCCACACGGATCTTATTGATGTCATCCACACTGAGCTGAAGCTCTCGCGCCAACTCTGTGGCAAAAATTAGACCGAACAAATCAAGTAAGTGAGATAAATATTTATATAATTTTGGTTGTGGGTCATGCTGTTATACTTCTACACAGTCCTTCACAGTATCTCTACCCAGAAGAGGCCATTTGTCCGTCAACAGCTCGGCTCTTGGCAGGAAAACAGGAAATAATTGGTTTCCATTGGCTAGTTGCCATGTTTGAACTTGTCGGACATAAGGTAAACATGGAAAGTTTCCAACAAATAAAATCTGATTCAGTCATTGTTTTCTCACCAGCCCAGCTCAGTCCCAATTGTTCTGCAATGACAGCCATCTTCAGCTCCGTCCTCTCCATGGCGCTCATAGATGCTGCACACACCAGACCAAAACTGACAACTTAACATCTGACATCTTTACTTTTGTTACATGTAAATTAAAGGTTGAGATTATCCCTGCATTGCCATAGCCTACTTATTTATTTATATTCAATACAGCATTATAAGAACATAAGCAGGGGCAGTTGTTGGCGGAGTAAGAGCCTCATACCCATAGCAGGTTCATTTAAGGCGCTGTATCTTTCTCTCAAAGCCAGCGGGGTCAGAGTTCGCCTCCGGTCTTCACTCCCAATAATCTGCCAGTCACAAGCAAATCACACTGAAGTCTATCATCTCACAGAAAATTATTTTAACTAAACACATTGTACTTTTGGAGCTTTACCTTGATACATGGAGGCATGTTGATGTTGAGGTTACAGAGCACATGTTGGCTGTCCTCATACTTAGTGGACTTGCGCAGGAAAGACAGGAATCCACTGTGCTCTTTACTGCTGTCTCTCAGCTTAAACACAGGGACAAAAGGAAAGCATTAAAGGTATACTGTATGTAGTGTGGAGACAGTATATTATCAATTGAACAACAAAGAATATCAAACTTAGCAAAGATCAGGACACATGGTAATACCTTAACAGAGACAGGAAGTCGGTTATCTCTGAAAGCCTGGAAGCTGAAGCAACGAGGCTGCTGGGTGGCCTTCCTCACCGGCAGCAGGTTACCTGAACACTCAAGGTGAAGCGGCATTCCCTCCATCACCTGCAAGACAGGACACAGGAATTAGCCCACACTACACTACCATTTGACCACATCAGTAATGCTCTGCCTTTCTCACTGGTGGGTAATAAAGTGTTACATTAACACCCTTTAAAACAAGTTGTTTTATTGAATATTTTATTACTTTAACCCTAACTTAAGTACATTTTTGATAGATTATATTTGTACTTCTAAACATTTGGTCTAGATAAGGCAGCACAACCCACCAAAACACACGTACGTATGCATGAAAAACACACATACACGGCGCAAACCTTGTTGTTTCTTTAAGCACTTTTTTTCTATATTGTTCTAAGAAAATAAATAGTGCTTCACGGTAGGTAGATTTGCCTGGTAGTGAAAACAAAAATGTAAATGCACCTAAAATTATTTTTCCTTTTTTAACATAAAAACCGTTATCTAATAAATTGCATCCAAGTCGTTTTTTACACAATGCTTTTCTCTCTTATTCAAGTAGTTATTTTAATAAGTACATTTACCCCTACTTGAGACAATATATTTGTAAAGTACTGTAACAACACTTAGGTACTTTTTTTGTTAAACTCTATAACTGGCCCCTGTTTCTGAACTGACCTCTATGTCTCTGCTGCGAGCCACTTCTGTGAAGTTCTCATGTTGTTCCAGGGTTTTATCCATCTTATCATCGGTCATGCAGTAGCAGCGCAGGCGGCCCTCACGCAGCTCATTCATCTTTGCAAACACCACAAACTTGGCCATGTAGGGTACGGCTGACAGCTCCCTGTAGAGCAGGTTGGCGAAGGAGATGGCCTCCGCAGTCCGAGGACAGTCGGCGAGCCAGAACCTGAGACGAAACAATGACATGGAATCTCAGTTGTGTGGAAACATCTTATTGTCTAGCTGACTATAGAATGATTTGAGATGGCAAAGTTTTACATTAACCTTAGTGGAGTAATTGTTAATATGATGTATGTGTTGCCCACGTACCGTGCTGAAACGTTTGTTGTGAAGCTGGCACAGTCTTTAGCATAATTGAGCTTGGTGGTGCCAGTAATGTCTTCCCATTGGGCTGGGGCTGTGCCACCTGGGAATCAGTCAGGATGAGAAAGGGTAAACTGGCTATTCTGGCTAAAGCAAAAGTCTCATGGTGCAAGTACAAAATAAGAAAAATAAATGTTCATCCAATTCGGAAATCTCTCTTCATTGCAAATCAGCAGTTTTGCCCCCATTAATCTTCACTTGCCATGGAAGGGAGTACACACACACACACACACACACACACACACACACACACACACACACACACACACACACACACACACACACACACACACACACACACACACACACACACACACCACACACACACACACACACACACACACACACACACACACACACACACACACACACACACACACACACACACAACACACACACACACACACACACACACACACACACACACACACACACACACACACACACACACACACACACACACACACACACACACACACTTCCTGGAGACTTATCCTAACCTTAACCATAACCAACACCTGCCTAACCCTAACCCTTACCCTAACCAAGTCTTCACCCTAAAATTAATGATTCCCCTCATGGGGACCTCCATTTTGTTCCCACATGTGACTGTGTAAACAGATTTAGGTCCCCACAAGTATAGTAATGCTAGGCCACACACACACACAGACACACACACCAGCCTTGGCATGCAGTACCTATGACTGAGCAGAGCAGACGCAGACTGGTGGTGTCTCCCTCCCCAGCGTCTCGTGGGCTGTCCCTCCAGGACGGGGGCAGGGGGATACGCAGGCCTATGGGTCGGTGAAACTTGCGTCGCCGAGGCTCCACAGTGACCACGGGGCTGAAGTTTGCCTGGTTACCCAGCAGCTTAGCAACCAGCTCATCTGGAACTGGCTGAGCCTGAGGTTGAGAGTGAATGATGGAAAGAGGGGGTATGCAACACAGGCACAGGGTGATGATATGGTAGAAAAAGGGGATAGGTAATGGAGATTGTAAAATTAGATGATAGGAAAAGAAGATGGCAGGTAAAGGGAGACAATGAGAGATCGAGGATAGGGCAATGGACGAAGAAAAGACAAGTAAAAGAAAGGACAACCGAATAGGCAAAATTAAAGGGGAAGAGAAAGAGAAAGAAGTCCACAGTGAATAAAATACCTTCTGGTTGGTTTGATCACACGTGGAAAGACAATAGCAACACAACTTTTTTTGTGGCACTTAATAACTCCTTTTTATTGTAAAATGTAACAAAGTGTATCAACATGCAAGCTTTTACAATTATGAATACAAAATGGATATCAAAGAAAGGGCACTGTGGTTTTTGACAAGGCCATTCATGACATGATCATTTAAGCAACATTTGAGTTAAATATATATATTCCTAAAAATATGTTAATACAAAATTATGAGCATATCTATTTTACTTACATTCACTATTTTATCTTAGAGGTTACATCATGTGTGGTCGCATGTTAGTTTACAATACATATTTAGCTTGTCATAAATTCATTCCTGTGTCTAAAGGACAGCAGCTGATTCATACGACATCTACTACATTTTGGTTTACTCAAACAGATTCTGATATTAGATTTACACGATTCCATCTAATGAATGCATTTCATACATTTCTGACCTCTATATATTCCAATTTTTTTAATAAATTATAAATGTTTTTAATTATGTTTTTTGTTAAAAACAAATATTAATGCAATCATAGTATTGAACTGGAAAAAATATCTTCACACTGAAAAACAAAGGCTAATAAAGTCTTGATATCATGTCAGCAAATATGAAAAAAATTGTGCACATTCATACAAATATTAAAAATCTTTGAAAGGACTTTTTGCTCAGAAACCTTTTAAAACATTTTTTGAAGAAATTTGAAACTGAGATTTGTGCAAAAAAAAAGGTTCAATGTGACAATTATTTTATGATTGATGCCTGAATTGTTGTAATCTACAATTTAGCCCCATTATTAAATCTCATTCCAATATAATTTGTTATGGATTTTAGAGCCGTCAGCAATTTGATGTTTTATTTTGAAACAGGATGTCAGGACATCAGATGGTGAGGGTTAAACCTTAAGTGGATTATTGTGTAAAGAAAGTGGTTTCCTATTGTATAATTGAGTGTGGTGCAGTGTGCTAATAAAATATTTATCTTCTTTTGGTGAATATGTTATAGAAAATGTCAAGACCTGAAAAGTTGATCCATTCTCTCAAAAGGGTCATAAAGCTTCAACCAACAGTTATTTAACTAAGATTAAAGGGTCCCTTTTTACGAGGGACAACACTTCATTCTATAAGGATCTTTTAACACATTTGAGACATTTATGACAAAAACACTTCTACAGAGTAAGTATACAGTCATACAAACATGTATTTTGCTTTTCCATCAAGTAATGTTTGAATAACTGTAACAAGGTATCTCAAATGAATGTGTGAAATATAGTAAATACAGGGCTTTGCCAATGAAATAAATATATTAGTGAGAGAGACATCAAGGAAAAAACAAACAATGTCATATCAGCACTAAAGAGCAGTCCACAGTTATATAAAGGTGCCAAGTGCATGCACTGGAAATGTAAATAAGTCCTCTAAAATTGCAAAAAGCAGAATAAACAAACAAAAGAAAAATGAAATCAGGAAAACTTGGCACAGATGCTGATATGATCAGGTCATTCCATCAAAGTAACATGCTTTATTCTTTCAGGCAACACAGGCATTAACGATTCTGTCTTTCTTCTCCTTCCTTCTCCTCATCGTCCCATCTCACCTGCAGACCCAGGCGCACTCGTTTGGTGACGGCCGTCTCAGGAAACGTGGCCTGCACCAATGGCACCAGTTTGCTTGTCAGCTGACCTCCCTCTGGTCCAATCAGGTCGCTCTCTTGCTGGACTCGTGACACAACAGCAAAGTAGAGCGGGAAGTCAGTGGAGATGATGCGACGGATCCGCTTCTTCCCGAGCTCATCCTGACTTTCTAGTTCTGAGGAGAAAAGCGAGGGTTAAACTCTCAGGAAGTGACACCATTCAGTGACATTTTTTGAAATTTGGCATTTGAAGTCTTACCCTCATCCATCCCATTGAGGATTGTTTCTAGCACCTCGTCACCGTAGCGATTACGATGTTCTTTCCAGACATTGCCATTCTCACTCCTCAGCACCACGAGCTCCCGGTCACCCCGACCCAGAGCAGCAAAGTGAGGGATCTCCACTATCACAGGTCTAAAACACAACACAAAGGGAAACATATTCAACAACAAATGACAATTATGTACTAAATATAACAATCTTAAACGCTCTCAAAGGGCTCTCAAATTGAAATACACCCATATATTATTTATGTTAATAAATAAATGAATACATGTACATTACATGTCACTTGTTAGACGCTTTTATCCAAAGCGACTTACATACTCAATACTGTGGACAATCCCCACAGGAGCAATTTGGGGTGAAGTGTCTTGCCCAGGGACACAACGACATGCTGACTGCAGTGGGACTCGAACTTGCTATCCCCTGATTCAAAGTTTAGCGCACTAAGTTCAGCGCACTATTCTACTGAGCCACAGCGTGTGATAGTGTTCATTAATAATGTATGGTATTTTACATTTGTGTATGGTAAATAACACGATGCTATTCACTTGTGGATGAAAGCACTTTGAATTGCACTCAGGCCCGGTTCTACGGGGGTGCATAAGGGTGCACCCTCAGTTGAGTTGTTATACACCCTGATTTGAAAAATGAAAAGTGAAAAAATATATATATATTTCATATATAATAACAATAATAATAATAATAGTAGTAATTATAATAATAATAAGAATATAGTTGAAATAAAATAAATTGTAATTGTGGTTAAATAACATTGTCCGCTGCTTTTATTTGGTCGCAAGTAACGTTATGTCAGGTGCGGGTGACCTGTGCCGCTACGCGTTCGTCATCTGCAAGGTGCTTACACAGCAGTCTATGATGGAACTCAGAAAATGGTTAAAACAACCAGCCCTTAGCGCCAGCAGTAACACTGCATCTACTGCAGGTAATAACAGTTCAGATCATGTGGACATTACATTACCCGCGGCCACTGTCGTGGACAGTCCTCCCGCCCGACTCGCCCACGCAGGCGGAGCAGCCACAGCCGTCTTCGTTGCCCCAAACACCGCCTCCCCTCGGCGGCCCGCAAGTGCCAGAGGACCTCGGCAAAACAGAACCTGCCCAGGTATATTTAAAAAAGTACCCAACTCGCCTGTACAGTGGGGTAAGGCGCTCATTTTCCAGCTCATGGTTTCAAAACAGAGATTGGCTGGAGTATTCATGTAAAAAATATGCCATTTTATGAAGCTCAGCGCAAGTTCAGTCAGGAAGACCAATATCCTCTGTCTGTTACACGTCATTTCAGTGATCGGGGCGTTACTCCCCAGCTAGCCAATCACTTACCCCCCCATTCTCACAAGCCTATCCGCTAACTAAGGGGTTAGCGGGTGCTATCATAGCACCCGCTAACCCCTTTAAATCTGCTCTTCCCTCTCCGTCAGCTGTCAACGCGCAACCCTCCTCCACCCCTTCGCCTCCTGTCTCCTAATACAGGGCCAAGCTAAAACCTTCTCCCCCCCAGACCAGACCAAACCACTTACCACCACCAGTGTCTAAACCCCGGGGGATTAATCGGAGCGGTTTTTCCCCTCCTGAATGATCGCCAAACACCATTTCATTCACAATAATCTGTCAATCACTATTCATTCATATTATGTGACGTGTCCCGGTAATAAACATGTATTTCATACATCACGTCTCTCCTGATTGAACTGCTATGCATGTAGACATTTCGGTCTTAAAAGGGGAGTGATTTGTAAAATATCCATAAAGAAAAAGTAAATCTGTTTACAGGTCTGATTCATATGAGTGTTGAGATGTATCCATAGATCTCTTCATTTTGCTCTCAAAGTGCACCAGATTGATGCTTTTAACTTCAATATTTAAAAAAAAATAGTCATTTTGTTCTGGAACCGGGCCTGATTGCACTTAACATTCATGCATACAGTATACAACAAAAAAGATGGTTATAGCCAAATTAAAGGTTAAGTGATAATCTCAAGATTAATGATAAAAGTATTTAAAAAAAAATAAATGTTGTTATTTCTATACATTGTTTTCTCATGTGCAATAGTAATTGTAATGTTTTGTTACTGGATAATTCAGCTTATCATGTAATTAATTAGATTTTTCATTAATTGACAGCCCTAATAAGATTCATTGTGTTTTTAGAGGAGGATATTTCCAGTCTCCTCACCCCAGGAACTGCATCCCGGCGGGCCCCAGGGAGATGATCCGGCTGGCCAGCCCCTCTCCCTCCACCAGCGGAGGGGGGCTGGTCAGCTTCTGCGGCTTCACCAGGCGGCAGGTGATGCGGGTCGGTGCGGCACAGGTCCGCGGGGGGATGATCACACGCAGACCGTTATGCCTGCTGCCTCGCATCGAGCCGCCACGAGCATCTACCATAAAACTGACCAGGAAACTGCAAAATGTAAATGGACAAACATCGAGACAATTAGAATCAGAATCAGAAATAGGTTTATTACCAGGTAGGTTTACACATACGAGGAATTTGACTTGGTGTCGTGGTGCATATACATAAAAGTAAAACAAGAATTAAAAACACAGGTAGAGAACTAGAAAAATATTTAAAATAATAAAAAATATAGTAAAATATAACAGTGTTTACATTGCAATGGAATGGAATAAAAAGGAATAAAAATCAGCAGTAATAAAAAAAATAAGAAAACAGATATTGTTGTACATTGTGTGCATTGTGTTAGTTGCCGGATCAGATATTAGAGAGGGATTCAGTGAAATAAAAAGATGTGCTGACCCTGTGTGTATGGGACTAGCGACTGGGCTGACGTTGTCTGACGTCTCAGTCGCTGGGCTGCTGGGAATCAGGGAGTCATCGTCGTATTCTTTGGGCAGTGGAAGAGGAGTGTGTTGCTAAAACAGAAGGAAAGACAAACTCTTCATAACAAAAAGAAAACAGTGACAGATAATCTTTAAATGAACCCAACCTGTGTTATTAAAAAATGTCTCACATATGTTTAATAAAGTTAATATTGAAAGGGATATGATGAGAAATTGTGTATTCGTCCTGCATTTTAAAGCTATTTTAAAAGTGGATATGGAGAAGGTACTTCAATAACCTTCATAAAACCTCTAAAGAAGTATTCTCATTTACATTATCATGTTATAAAGAGGGTTGACCTTAAAAAAAATCTTCAATTTGAGGTTTAGATTAAAATGTGAGTTTAGTCCAAGTCCATTAATCACAACCCTTCATATGATAAATCACTTAAATGAACAAATTAATCTTGAAAGTGAATTGCTGGTTCTTGACCTTTGAAATAGTAGTTTAACAAAAAACATAACTTTAACTTAAGGTTCAGTTACACGCCTTTTTTTCTGGTATTTCAACCGCATATGGTCTTTATCAAAGAGTTGCTCACTAACCCATTGCACGACTCCAAAGACCACTTCGCAAATGTATTCCACTGATATCAATTATATGTATATATTATATATATGAATAATATTAAATGCTCTAAACTTTGGAAAGGACTAGTAAGTTGACCCTGGGCAAAAGGGGTACTCCACCTGCTAATTCATTACGGGACTACAGGAGCAAGCTTTGCAAACTGGTAAACCTTGAAAGCATAAACCTGTTAAGGTAGGTTTAATAAAATATGTTATGTTGCATTATGGGAAATAAGTGTTCTTGAACTGTTACCCATACAAAGTATTAACAACTATTTTATCGTTAAACTATGTTTCTTCCAAGTGCCTTAACTTGATTGGAGTGCAGTGCTACATTTTTGGAGTAACTCTGCAGTTTGTTACTAATGCAGCTCTGATCAGTACCTGATCCATCTCGTGTTCTTTCAGGATAACGGTCTCCGGAGAGACCCGGGGGATCCTGGGAATGGCTGGGGAGTAATTCCTGTTGTAGTAAAAGAGAAAAACACAAGTGAGATTGAGGAAGTTCTTTAAATCTCCTCCCAAGTGCTCATCCCTGGTGTTTAGTTAGTGTTTATGGTGCATCCCCCTCTATCCTTCCACCAAGCCGGTAGCTTGTGGCTACCAGCTTGGTCTCTGGCTTGTTTCCCCGCCCAGCCCCCCTTACGCTGAGCCCAGCCCTCTCTCGTACTCCAGTGATTTCTTGGGAGAGAGGAAATCGTCATCATGGTCTTTCATGTCATCCATCTTCATGTACCTGGCCCCTTCGGTCCCCAAGAGCTCCTCTCCTTCAGAGAACAACATGCCAAAGAGAGCGAACAGATCGGGTCAGGTTGGAAACAGCAAAACAGAGAAATAGAGAAAGAAGAGAACAAGGCTGTTAGCCCGGGTTTGAAGGGGGGGAGGTTCGGAGATGGCTCTGTGATTCAGGTGTTCGACTGGTGAGATGAGACATTAGTGAAGATGCTCTCTACACTGACTTTCTTACAGTTAGGCAAAGTAAGCACAGACTTGTCTACACAACGCCAGAAACTTAAAAAAAAAAAATCCGGTACAAAATCCAAACAGCAGGTCACTGTAATCAGCTATAGTCTCAGAGTCCAACACTTTTCATTCAGAATCCCAAACATTACTACATTAAAATAAGAGAGGACACCTTACACATGTAGTCCCACAAACAGTTAGACACAACAGCATACAGACACTATCTCATTCCAAAAAACTGTTCGTAAGAAACACTAATACACATAACCAAAGTACAAGCTGTTCTCCTTTAACAGTACAGTATAACTCGATGTGAGCAGAGGTGGGTTTACTTACCCCTTAACACATGCGGTAATATTCAAGAATTCACCAGAAGTGTGTAATAGTTTGAGACCGTACCAGCTCAGCGAGTGTGTGAGTGGGCTTCTGTCAGCGGTCGAGAGCCAAATTGTCGTAGGTGTCATTACACTATGCTCGACTCTGAGTGCACTTCCCACAGGTTTAATACGAGTCAGCTCGTGTCCTGGATATTCTCTGTGTTGTGTGCCGTGTATGTGTAGGCGAAGTGTTACCACATACAAGCCTGTGCATCAGATAAGCTGCAAATATCATTTCACAGCAGCCGTTATGAAATGTGTCTTTAAGGCAACGTCTCTGCTACTTTCTATATTTAGAGCAAAGGTGACAATCTGTCAGTTAAATTATCAGGGGACTAAAAATATCAAGACATAAAGTCCTCTGATATCATTGTCAGTGGTGTTGTAAACGTCATTACATGTTACCGTAGCAATAAGTGCTTTTTGAGGGGATGCATACACAAGCTGTGAGCTGATATATTACCTTTTGAGTTGATATGTAGAACTTGTTAGCTAAGAGTTATACGTCTATACAACTCAAAGATATTATCATTGTTATTTCTCTGTCCACCTGATGATTGTAAGTCCAATATTCACTCTCCTTTCTGCTCTGCTTTTGCTCTCTACAAACTCCAGAGGGATTTGTCTGAAAACAGCAGCCTGTTGCGGTCAAATACTATAAAAGCCTTGAGAGTGATACGAGAAAAGTAATGTTTCGGGTCGTAAAAACCAAGACAATTAGCTGAAAACCATTATAATCCTGAGCTGAAAGTAAAAGTAGTGTTGAGCGATGATTCACTGTGAGTTCATTACTACATGTGACTCTTTTGAGATACAAGAAGTCACATAATCAATTGTAAAAACAAACATTGAAGCCAATTCATTTTGAACAAATACAGTTGGAATGGCAGGAACACAAGATGATTGACAAGTGAAGACACACACACATGTCAAAGCTAGGATAGCACTACATGTCTATTTACAGCTCACAGGGCTGATTTTAAATGTTTTAATTAAAGATTTGTTAAATTATTAATACCTTATATAGGTGTAAAATGTATTGGCTATGACTGAAATCACAACTTAGAGGAAGAAAAGACACCTGCAGATTTAGAGGATGAGGGTGTTATTGAAGGGACAGATAAAGGTTACAGACATGGGTGCTATGGGTGCATGCCAATGAGAAACCAGAGCCACCATCACAGTGAGCGCCACTACAGCGGGAACGAGAGAGAGAGCTTGAAATGGAGCCACACACTTTAGTACAACAACCTATGAATGCCGCACGGAGATAGAAAGAGACATTCATACCTAATGTTAGCTGTGCAACTCCTAAAAAAGGGCAAAAGGAATCGGAAAATAATGAATATTTATGTGACTAGGTAAAGCATCATAAAATCAGCCTCATAAACAGGAAGTAATGTTTAGATAACATCAACGTAGTCGATCAAACATTGTTTCCGACTGTTTTTATGTGTTTTATTATATTTATAGATCTCTACCTTCATCCTCTGACACGTCCAGTATCTCGTCCACTGTTTCTGGGAAGCTCATGCGATGTTTCTCTGTGGTCGTCTGCACAGGGGGAAGAGGGAGAAACAATTGTAAATACAGCGTAAAAGTATTTATATTTACATCGACACAATGAATACAAAATTCATACAATGACTTTCTCTTCCTTTTTTTTTTAGCATAAATAACATTTAATCACATGGTATTGAAGTATTAGACAAGATAAAACAAAACAACAAAAAAGTGACAATATTTATTCAACCCAAAATGTATGTAAATGTGAACAAACCAATAAAAAATGATAATAATTCTGCACTCCAAGGTAAGAAAACATGGAGAAAACACAGAAGAAGATTCACTTAAAGAGGCACTCATCTATTTCGCTACTTCCAGGTCCGTAACTGGGTTAAACTAAATAACCCTTCCTTCCCCAATATCCCTCTGGATTCAATAATTGACTCAATTCTGGACTCTAACAACCGAAAAAGGTTTGATTTCAAGAATTTACAATTCCATCTCCCAGAAACATCTCTTGGTAAAATCAAACAAGATTGGGAAGAGGAACTAGTCCAAGCAATAGATGATGAGGTCTGGGATGGCGCATTATCGAGAGTGAACAATAGTACGTCCTGTTCCAGGCTCAATGTTATACAACTAAAAGTTGTCCACCGTATCTATTACACCAACTCTAAACTAAACTAATGTCACGGATACCTGTAACAGATGTCACACGTCACCAGCAAACATGACTCATATGTTTTGGTCTTGCCCTCGCCTACAAGGATACTGGACAAGCATTTTCAAACACCTTGCTGAGGCCTTGGACATGGTACTAACACCATGTGCAGAAACTGCCATTTTTGGAGTACTACCTGGCCACCGAATGATGAAGAGGAAAACTAAGGACAGTATAGCCTTTGCATCTATTTTAGCACGTAGAAGAATACTCCTAGAATGGAAATCTTCAATACCACCTCAAGCATCTCTATGGCTCAAAGATCTAATGATGTACCTGAACTTGGAGAAGATTAAATATAACCTGAGGGGCTCCTCAAAACTATTTGAATCTGTCTGGGGCTCTGTGATAGCCTACATAGCTGAACTTAAAATTAAGAAGAACGGGGGGAACTATGAATGTATGTTTGTTTTCTTTATATACATGTACGTAGTAAGTATGTGTATTTATGTGTATATGTATGTAGGTATATACATATATATATATATATATGTGTATGTGTATATGTGGGTATACACATATATATTATTCTTATTATTCTTTATTTCCTTATCTATTCATTTTTTTATATATCTTTTACATTACTTTATTTTTACCTATATATGTATCTATTTATTTACTTTACTAGCTTGGACCGGGAGGGGAGGGGGGGAAAGGGAAACATATTGACTGTATAAATGTAAACTCATTGTGCCGGACTCAATTAAAAAAGAAAGAAAAAAAGATTCACTTAAAGAAAGTATAGTGTGTGATCATGCTAAATAGAGTAAGGCAGTAACACTAGCACCACTGCGTGACAAACCTCATTGTAATAATAAAAGTAAAGTAATGGTGGAGTAAGTAATATGTTTAATCTGATACAGATGAGTGAAAACGCATTTATTATTGATTCACTTATACACTGAATATAACTGACTTTGAGTTTTAATGCTCTGCAGATCTGGAACAAGCTTTCTGAGAAGCTGAAAACCTTGCTCTTTAATGCTGCTTTTCCAGAGGTAATTTATCTCTGATTTATCGTTGGGCTTCATCACTTCTTGCAGCATTATGTGTATTTACAATGTCGATTTTCAACTAATTTCCATCTCTTCTATGAGCTGTCTTTTTGTTCAATTTATTCTGTGTTTAATATTATGTGTTATTTCCATTGTAAAGCAGTTTGAATTGCCTTTGTGTCTGAAATGTGCTCTATAAATAAACTGTAACCGTATTTCAAGGTGAGTGTGATGCCCACATAACGCCAGTACTGTAAACAGAGAGCACAGTCCAATTCTAAACTTCTCACCATGGAAACCGTCTCCTCCGTGACGAGCTTTAGGACATCGATGACAGAGATGTAGCCCAACCGCTTAGCAATGGCCAGCGCTGACGTCCCATTCTGACGGACAGAGAGGAGCACATTGATCAGATGTCTGAACGACAACACTTTATGAATGGCTTTTCAGATGTGAGGTGCGTTCATGCTCACGGTCGTGGTCTCGTTGGGCTGAGCGGCGTGCTTCAGCAGCAGCGTCACAATGTCCGTGTGTCCCTGCTGCGCCGCCTGGTGCAGAGGAGTGTAACCCAGCTGGAAAACAGAATACATTTATTCTTACTCGTATAATGTACGAATAGTTTTACAGATACCAACGTTAAGAATTAACTTTTTTAATTATGTAATACAGCTGGTAACAAAGTCACCAACAAACCTTTTAAAACCAATATCAGTATAACGGACAAATGTTTTATGAATACAGCTGAAACAATTAGATGATTAACAGACAATTAATGAGTAACAATTTAAATAATGAAATGTATTTGTTTGAGTAATCTAAAAGCAGAAATTGACTGCTACTAGTTTCTAAAAAATATATATATTTGGTGGTTTTCTTGGTCGTCTATGATAACAAAATGAATTGTAATATGTCAGCTTGGGCTCTCGGGGCTTGTTTGACTATGTTAATTACATTTTTACAAAAAAAGCTAAATCAAGAAAGCCGTTATAATGCCAGTTGTTATTAAGCCAGGTGCATTGTGTTAAACTAGACATGCCTAAGTGGCTATGGTTGTCTTTATTCCTTATTTATTAGTACAATAAAATCAGATGGTGTGTTGTACTGACACATAAGCAAAATGTTCTTTCTTTGAAATTACAGACAGAAAATCAATCTGCTACTCAATAATAAATACACTTATCAGTTGTTGCCCTACATATAACCTTACTCATTCAAATTAAAGCACCTGAAATGAACTCCAGTACATTAAACTTTTAGAGAGGTAATATCTTCTCATTCCTATAAATCATTATTAATAGCTTTCTTTGGGGAGATCCCTGCATAACGGTTAACTGTGTAGTGTAATCGTGTTTCCTGGTGAGTGAATCAGACAGTGGGCACAGTAGCTGCGTGACTCATGCCCTGACTCATTTAGTTGTAGTTTTATCTGAAACCAGAGGGAGGCACTCACCCTTGTTTTGCTGTTGACGTTGGCTTGTTGCTGCAGGAGGAACTTCACCATCTTGATGTTGCCATAGTGACACGCTACATGGAGGGGGGTGTAGCCCATCTGAAGGAGAGAGATTAAAGTAAAAATCCCAGCAGTCACATAACTTTTGTGTCTTAATGACCTTAATGAATATATTATGTAGATTTGATCCTAAAATAGTTCATGAATATTGCATTATCTTATGGTTCAAATCAACGCTGTAAAATCATTTTGAGAACAGAGCAGAAAGGCTGCAATTAAGACATTAACAAGAGAGAACGCAATTATCTCTGGTGTATGGAATTGGGACAATAACGATACAAATATTACATTTTGTTTGAGATTATGATCAGTCCAATACAAGAGCCCTATCTATCATACATTTATTTCTAAAAAGGTGAGTCTGATTTAAATGTGGACAGTTTGTTGCAGTCACTAAACTTTTCCTCATAAATTATATTCCACAAATTAATATTTTGACGCCACTAACATTTTTATTTAGAAAACTAATTTCTAATTTATCAGCAAACAAATTGTGAATTTTTATGGAAAAAGATAGAACTTGATGATCCCTTGTTGAAATCCCTAAGCTCCACAACAGTATATAATAGTACAAAATAACCGTCAGCTTGACGAGCTGCAACACATCTATAATTACAATTCAGAGAGATGCTGTAAACATGAAAAACCTCAAGAATCTGCCATGTTGTATGGTAACGGGACCCCTGCTATGAGAACATTCAGCTATTTGTGCTACAGCACTTAGACACTATCTCCTAAAGCTCAAAGTAGAAAGCACGAGTTTCTACACTGATAAGGCTTTGATAACTGAGTAACAGCTTCTCGTGAGACTAAAAAAGGTCTTACCCTCGTGGCTGCGGAGACTGAAGCCCCCTGATTCACCAAAATATCTGCAATGCCGACATGTCCTTCCTGTGCCACCAGATGGAGCGGGGTTAATCCGCTCTGTGGGAACCACAAGAAGAAGACAAAGGTCAAACACAGGAAAAAAGCTCAAATTGAATATCATTTTCAGTTTGAATCAACCTCGTCCTTTGATCAGTGTTGAGCAAATACTCAATGTACTTTTCCAATATCAGAGTAGCACATGATAACAAAGGCCTAACTGTAACTGTGTACGTGACAGGATGTGTGATTACCCAGAAGAGCATCAGGACTGTTTGAGGCATATGATAGCTATGTGATTAACATGATGATTCAGCCTCTATGGAGACAGACATATGACAAGCATGATCATTTCTGACGTGGGTCTTAGCTAATCTAAACATTGCATACTGCTTTGAACCGGTATTCCTGCATCTTGTGACTGTGCAACACCCTCTCTTGTATATAAGCAAGTGAAGGACACTGTTCAGGAACTAGTTGTCCCAAATGCTCTGTATGTGATGACTACTTCCATTCTTGCAAGGATAATAAATACATGTGTCCTGATATTGAAGCTCAAGCCGGTGACGAGTGATATTTTTCTAACAATAAGCTTTGTATTTCTTGCCTTGTTTCCCAGGTTGACGTTGGCCTGTTTGGAGATGAGCAGGGCGACCATGTCGGGCCGCCCCTCCTGCGAGGCCAGGTGCAGAGGGGTGACCCCCTGCAGGGACTCAGCATTGGCCGAAGCTCCGTACTGCAGCAGGCTGTTCGCCACCTCCACCTGGTTCTGCTTTGATGCTATGTGGAGGGCGGTGTAGCCATTCTGCAGAACAGACAGGCATCGTGATTAGCTAAATATATACGTGTATGATACTGGGCCATTCAGCATCATCTATGTGTACATGTGTGTCTTTTGTTACCCTGGCTGCACTATGAGGTGACCCTCCTTTGCTGACAAGCAGGTTGACAACATCCAGGTTGTTGTGATGAACAGCAACATGCAGCGGAGTCAGTCCATTCTGGAAAACAGAATCACAAGTTTATTAGACTGAGGCAGAACAAACAATGCTTTATTCATACATCCTTAATGTTCCCCTTACCTTCCCAGCAGCATTAGGGTTGGCTCCTCTCTCCAACAACAGCTCTGCTACATCCACCTTGCCGTACTTGGAGGCCACATGGAGTGGAGTGAAGCCTTTCTACAGACGCACCAACGAGAAAGTGGAAATATTAGTTTGGGAGTTGCATCTGTTCTAGCTGACCGTGTTAAGGCAGCCAAAGGTTGTGCAGTGAAAGACAAGCAGGCAGGGTTTACCTTGGTCATCTTGGTCTGCTGAGCCTCCATGTCCAGCAGGATGCGCACGGTGTGTGCGTGCCCCTCCCGCGCAGCGATGTGTAGGGGTGTGTGGCCTGCTGTGGTGGTGGAGTTGGGGTTGGCTTTGTGCTCCAGCAGCAGCTTCACGATCTCCGTGTGGCCCATCCGAGAGGAACAATGCAGAGGTGTTTGGTCATCCTGGACAACAAGGAGAGAGAAATAATTAAATACACCATAAAAGATACTGCATGAACCCTCTGCAGAAATATGCTTTAGTGACTTCAGTTTCATTTCTCCGCTTCTCTTCCATGATCTCTTGTTGCATTACTGTGAATGTATGCTTTGCTGTTTAGGAAGGAACTAAGAATGTTGAAGCACTGCCAAGAATATGTTTCTGTGAACCAAAGCTTCACATTTCTAAATGAATGTTTAATGTATCACATACAGACTATTGGATGTACCCTAATATGATAAATCTCTATGCACTCGTACACAACATGTGGATAGTTCTGTATTGTTTGAGATCTTTACCTTGGCCTTGGCGTCCACTGGTGCCGAGTTCACCAGTAAAAACTCTGCCACCTCATGATGTCCTGCCCGAGAGGCCATATGAAGAGGAGTCTCCACTTTCTAATCGTGCACAGAAAGAGAAAACACCCACTCAGATGTAACACTATTACAATAACAACACAATGCGTGCAGGGGGGAGTTGGTTTTCTGTGCTGTATGTGTGTCTTAGAATAAAACTCACCACGTTAGAGGCACTGGGGGAAGCTCCTTTCTCCAGCAGGTTCTTCACAACATTTAGGTGACCCATAAATGAAGCCACGTGCAAGGGGGTCAGGCCAGACTGAGAGAGGAGAGAAGAGGAATATTACAAATGGTCTTGCACTCCAAACCTATTCAATATAATGATAAGTGAGGTGTTTTTGCTCACCTCAGTCACAGCCTCTATCGATGCAGAATGTTTGAGCAGGTGATCTATCACACGCTTGTGGTTCTTTTTACAAGCAATATGCAAAGGAGTAAAGCCATTCTGTAAAAAACAAAGGACATATTAGAATCCCCACAATGATTAAAAGCAAGTGTGCAATGCTTGAATAAATCGACTGTGTTCATGTGCATGTGTTACTGACCAATGCCCGAGAGTTGGGTTTGGCCCCTTTGTCCAGCAGTACTTTGGCCATGCGGTGGTGGCCACAGTGCGCCGCCACATGCAGAGGGGTGAGGTGGTCCAGTGTGATATCATCAATCTCTGCGTTGTACTGCAGAAGCTGCTTGATGCAGTCCATGTGGTCCCCCTGTGCTGCCATGTGGATTGGAGACAGGCCATTCTGCAACAAAAGGAAACCTTGTAGTGAAAACCATCTAGAAAATCAAGAAGCAGCAGTAAGAGTAATCTATCACAAACTCTTCCTTTCCTTTACATACAAACTCAATGATTTGCTCTTGTTCAGTTCATTTCGAAGTGAAGTACAGACTTGACTTTTCTTGTATCAAGGTGAATTACCTTTGTCTTTGCCTGTATGGGGGCTCCATGGTCCAGCAGGATCTCTATAATCCTCACGTGACCGTTTCTGGATGCACAGTGCAGAGGAGTCAGCTCATCCTGAAGAGAGGGGGTTGTTAATGACTTAGTTAATGATCCATCAAATGAGAGACTGTAAGAGAACTAAATATGTTATACGATGGATGTCTGCTGCACCTTGGTCTTGGCATCGATCTGAGCCCCTCTGTCCAGCAGGAGTCGGACCATGATCACATTCCCCCGTCGGGCTGCAATGTGCAGAGGAGTGATGCCGTTCTGCAGAGAGAAACAGGCGCTTAGACAGGCACACAGAAGGACAACAACCTGAACCTTCCAACAACATCAATTACTCCCTACCTTTGGGGTGAAGTTGACATTGGCTCCTCTATTGAGCAGCAGTTGAGCTACGTTCAAGTTTTCATAGTGTGCAGCAATGTGGAGGGGCGTGAATCCAGTCTGCAGGGGAGAGAACATGTTACTCTTGTTAGCTTTGCATTTTCATTCAAAACTGCCAAGGGCTAGGACTTCACTATAATGGCCAGCTTAAAAATCAAGATTACTTTGATACATTTCAAAATCACACTTATCCATTGATTTAAAGGACAACATAGTTTAATTTTACATTCAAGCATTTCTTTCATTTGCAGGTTGCGCCACATTCCTGCTAATCAACACATCTTTGCATCAAAACAACACTTAAGAGCATGCATTTTTTAAACGTCAATCGATGTCGTACATGTAGTGAACATGTCTACACTCATTTCTGCCTGCATGCATGCTGACACACATGTATACCTTGCTGAGTACATCAGCGTTGGGGTCATTCTGCAGGAGCACTGCGGCAGTGCGAGTATCGTCGTTGCGGGCTGCTATGTGTAGCGCAGGTAGTCGGACTTTTCCTTTAGTGCCGTAGTTGATGAGCAGGGCTACGACATTCTCATGTCCCTGCTGAAGAGCCACGGCGAGAGGAGTGAATCCATCCTGCAGCGCACAGAAGAAAAGTAAGACTAGTTGACTCATGGAGAGAAAATCAGAGAGGAGTAAATAGAGAGAGCTCATGAGAACAAAACAGAATGGAAACACAACGATTTCTAGATCAGCAACGATGGGGGGTTGAGGAGTTTGGGAGATTACTCTTTAAAAACGTTTCTCGGCTCCTTGATCTTTAGTACCTCAGTTGGAATGCTCTGATTGGCTCCGTTCTCCAGAAGAAACTTCACAACCTCTAGATGGTTTTCTTGTGCAGCCATGTAGAGTGGAGTAAAACCCTTCTGTTCTCAGAAAGACGCACAACAGACACCCACACAGCAGCAGAGGAGACACAAGCACAGCAAAAAAAAGACAGGAAGACGGTCACAGATGCACGAACAAGGATGTACAGAGACAAGGAAACACCGAAATACAGATATATAGGTACACATACACTTGTTAACAGATGGGATTGCGATAGCTGGGTTCACATATTAAGCACTGAGGAGCCTCAGTGTGTCCCGAGATCTCCGCAGTGAGAGCCGCACTCACCTGTGACTGAGCGTTGACATTGGCCCCGTAGTTAACCAGCTCTGCGACCACCTGCTCCTGCCCGGCCAGGGCCGCGATGTGCAGGGCCGTGTTCCCTTTCTGTTCAAACACAGTTACATAGAAACACACACACGTCATACCGAGCACGATCAAAGATTATAGGTGAAATCCCACATGGGTAATAAAAAAAAAGTGGATTATAGACATGTTATGTTTCATACGCAGACAGATCTTTAAATATATATATTATGTTACTTGTGAATTCAAAAGTTGTGGGTTTTCAGATTTATTTAGAGTAATTTCCTGTGAAAAGCAATGGATTTTTACCTTTGTGGTGGTCTCCAGTACGATCCCATTGTGGAGTAGCTCCAGCACCATTTTAACGTGGCCTTCTTTCGAGGCCAGATGCAGCCCGTTGAGCCCATTCTGAGTGAGAGAGCAGAGAAGACCTCATACTGAAGGGTCCTCAACACACTATGAACACAGATATCTCCTGATCTAACAGTAAATAACCACAGATACACATAAACACATGTAGGCCATGCCAACTGGTTAATTTTTACCACAGCGACTACAGCACTCACAAACCAAAGGCAGGCAAATACACTTCTTACATACTTACACTGGACACCACACATGCAGTACTCTCAGAATCAAAGTGGTCATTAGCAGAAACAATGTCTACAGGGATGAAAATCAGGATGTGAACATTTTCTTTTGATTAATGATAGTGAGAGGAGGTGGAGGAAGAGGAGGACGGAGGGGGATGGCAGGCCGCTGGTCTCGTGGCTGGGAAGAATACGAGCCGTGTGGGATAGGTCTGACCTCACACAGCCTTCCTTCAGCCGCACAGGACATGTGAGGTTGGACCTTTCCCACACCACTGATATTATTCCTCTGAGTGGGGAGACCACAGCACACCATCACTCTACTGCAGACAGAGGAGAGGGAGGGGAGAGGGAGGTAAAAAGCAAGAATAAAAGGGAGGTGAGTTAGGAAACAGTGCACCAACAGAGGAAGAGGAGAGAGGAGAGGAGAAGCTGTTAGGGGATAGAAGAGGAGGGAAAACACAAGAAGGGGCGGGCAGGAGTGAGGCAGTGTGCTGGAGAGAGGTTTCCACTCAGACAGGAAACACAGCCTCCGCCTGACTCCTATCAGACTGTACGCACAGCATCCGGACCAACAGTCACACAACAAGGATCTCACCAGTTTCAGTGATAATCTACATCTTCAAAGTTCAATCAATTCACTCGTAAAATGTAAATACAAATCGCTGCTGAGATTCACCGGAGACTTGTGTTAATAATTAAAGGGTTAATGTACATTTAGTGTCCTATTATTGTATAAATCCCACTATTTGTTAATTTTGATAATATAATAATGTACCTGCAGGACTTTTTTTTCTATAGATTGAATTCACTTTTGTAAGTAGCATTGGATAGAAGCGTCCGCTAAATAAAATGTAATGTAGTGTAAGGATAATGCCTGACTTTGCTGCCATCACACACTGTTGCTTGACTTAAAGCAAATACAGTAGATTTGGCAAGAAATGTTTCATTTTTCCAGAAACAAAATAGTAACAGAATAATTTTAAACATGTTGTATTCAAATAGAAATCACATATATTGTGGATTTAGGTGAAAAACTGCAAGGCAATGTGTGTGCAATGGGGTCTCATAATTACAGCCAGATTGTTGTAGATTATCACTTGAACTCAAACACAGTTAACACCACACAGTGGAAATTACAATTGCATACAACAATTATCAACAAAATGAAATAAAAAAATTGTGAAATTCAGGAACATTAATCTTATACGTTCTCGTATCTCAGCCTGTATTTCTGCATGTAATTATATTTGTAATCCATTGGGTGTCTCCATTTATCACACTGAAGGAGTTGCCAGTAAAGGCACTTTACAAGAATACATCTGTTGTTATGTGGGTCTGCTATGGAGCATAATAATAGGCTTTATAGAAATCCGGACAGAAGCATTGCCAGGTTTAATTACAAAGCGTCGAGGATAAGTGAATGGAAGGGAAACCTGACTAAGTTAGATTAATGAGGCCGAGGAATCTTTTACACATGCAAGTTTTGGCCAAGTTTCAGTAGCCCGAGGGCCGCAGTCCTAGCCCCACTAACGCTGCCTCTTCCTGGGAACAACCGTTAGAATAAAGCAGACCGGATGGAAGACACAAGGCAAAGGAGAAGCCCCTGCCCCATTTATCAGCTTCCCAGGAGACCCTGTGAGCTCCTCCTGTCACCTTCAGCCAATGATTAAAACCTGAGCATGCACATACAGTACGACTGAGGGCACAGGCACATTACAGCAAAGTGATCAAGACACGTCATGCACACCAAACACATTTATTAAGAAATAATAATACAACATAATGGTGTTGTACATGGACAATATCTAAGCAGAGCATACTTTAAACATCTTTATGAATCCCAAATGAAACCATGTTATTTTGTTATATAATGACTTAATCAATTCACTGTTTGTAAATGTCATTAAATTCATCATTACTATTGTTTAAACCACCTCCTGAATTTGTATTTAATATCTTAGAAAGTATATAGGGAAGACTCAATCCTGGCAGGATGCCACTGTGGGTCGTAAGTGGCAAACAAACACTCATAAATATTATATTCTGGCCACTACAACGCAGTACAATTCAATATCAGTTTTATCGTCAATTAAACCAAGAATGGAAAGTGGAGTAGTGATAACATTAAATGGCTTACAGGTACATGAGTTTGCCAGTGAGAGGCTTTTACTTCCTGATACTTCAACTGGGGAATGTGCAGCTCTCTCACCTGATTGGCTGTGTTTATATCAATGCCATTTTTGATATGGTCCAGGGCCTTGTCCAGGTTGCCAGATCGGGCCGCTCGGAGAAAACTGTTGCCAGCATCTGCCTGGAGGCGTAAGAGAGAGAGAGGAGAAGAGAGGAGGGGATACGGGGTATAAGAGGAAGTGAGAGACACATAAAGTAGAGGAGTAGAGAGAGAAAATGGAGAGGGAGACAGAGTTTGGTTAATATTTTCTTCAGGGACATTTGAAGGACTGAAACCATTCAGTCGTAATCCATCAGTTTTCCTCTCATGTCCCTCCGCCCTTGAGATTTTGGACAGTGCAGTTTGAGATCTGCACCTTGAAATGTGTTTGTTTATGGTTTGGTGGTGGGGTGAAATATTGGAGTGAACAGCTCCTTGGACTTCAAAACCTCTCAATGTGTCCACAAGTCAGTGATTTAAGTGATACGGCATCTTTGATAATAGAGACAGATCCTTGAGTGTCTGTTGTTTCCAGCCAACTCCTGGCTCTTTGTTTGGACTCTAAGCTTAATGTGTGTGTGAATGAAAGAGAAGAAAAGAGACACAAGGTGCATAGCAAAGAGGAGAGAGAGAGTTTGGTGATTCCGACTCACGGGCCGGCACATGGCACGTCTAGTGTTATTGTCTGTGTTTTGTCTGAAGCTTTAATGCGTCTCCCAGGCTGGCTGGGGTGCAGCTGATACAGGATCACTCATGCGGCACAGGGGGAGAGTGAGGGAGAGCATAGGAGAAGAGGAGAAGCGCCAGAGACCGAGGGAAAACCACAGGGAGAAGCTCGACTGCGGCAAACGCTGCACTTTTTCATTTACATAATCTCCTCTCTCCCCTTGCCCATCCCCTCTCTCCATCTTACCAGCTATCTTGACACTGCTGCTCATCAGCCGTCCATTCATTCAGTATATGTTTTCTCACAGACGCATAGAATAAATGTGTGTACTAACCTCATTTTCAAATCCAAAACAAAATCACCATATGCTGCCAAGTAGCTTTTCTCAACTTTATAAACAGTGCTTTAGGCTTTGCTGCCTATTGTTTTGACAGGATTGTTGGTCCACTTCTGACAAAGATGGAACGACCGTGAGTAAAAAGGGAAAGGATCCACATGCCTGAAGTTGAGTCATAGCAACAAATGACACAACACACCCTCAGCAGGACACAAATGGCACAGCGCTGTGCAGAGAGAGGTCACTTTAAAGAAGGCAGGGGCGATGTTGGCAGGGCAACAGAAAACTTTAAAGGAAGGTTTCTTCCAGCTGATCGAGGAAGAAAAGCGGCTACTGACAAGATTATTGTTTATATACAACATGTATGCAATTATAAAGTGTATACTATAAGATGAACTTTATGCAGGTCGTTTTAAAGTTGTAAAAAATACATCCTGGACTTAATGTGAGAACCTTTACTTATTGGAGCCATTGGCCTCCGAGTCATTTCCATTCTCTCCAAAACATTTTTTGTTTTAAGTTTGCTCACAGAAAACTGAGAGGCATACTCTAAAGGCCCTGACACACCAGGCCGATTTCGGCTGTTTTCGTAAGTCGGGAGACGAAGCGTGTCCTGTCGCCCAAACTCAATTTGGTGTGTCCCGCACCGTCGACCGTGACACGCCTTATTTGGACTGCCAGACCCGATGAATCGGCCATCGGCCATGCATCGGGTCTGGCAGTCGGACCAAGCAATCACTCTGATTGGCTGTTCAGCTGGCGAATAGAGTGCATGAGAAGCGAAACGGAAGTGAGGGACGTAAACAAACGATTTAAGAAGGCACACACAGACTGATATTCATTTTCATCTCATCATGGCGATCTGCAATGACGCAAACGAAGACCTGCTCATCACATTGATCCAGGAGAGGCCAGCTCTGTACGACATCACAGAGAACAGGTACTCGAACCGAGTAGTGAAAACCGGACTCTGGCGAGAGATTGAAACGCAACTTGGTTTCTCGGGTAAGATTATCTTTTTCATCAATTGAGCTCTTTAGCAGATATTGTTGGCTTTTTATTGTTTGCCAGCGTACAGTGGCGTTAACGTGAAATGTAATTTGTTATTTCAACCTTGTGTTTTGTTGTTATCTTGTTGCTAGCTGTGCAGTTTGGCACTGCATATAGATATGAATTGGACATGCTAACTAGCCACAATGCTTACATCGTTTATTTGTGTGCTTCAGAGAAAGAGCTGAGGAAGAAGTGGGATTCTCTGCGAACCCAGTACACCCGGTACAGGAGACTTGCCCCTTCGGGTAGCTGTGGACCAAAGACGGACAGACAGCAGTGGATCATAACCAGGCTGCAGTTTGCACACGCTATTTGTTGTTGTTTATATCACGCAGTCTGTTCTTCTTCTCTGTCTTCCGGTTGTTGCCTATTTTTAATGACGAATACACACTACCGCCGCCTGCTGGTAAGGAGAGTTATTGCCACTCACGCACTGAAGTCTTTGCGGTGTGTTCCCGTGCGACACATGGCCAAGACGCAGGAGAACACCGCGACGCAACAGTCGACGTCGGCGAGTTCTCTGGTGACTGCTTGGTGTGTCAGGGCCTTACAGTATAACACTTCTGAGTCACACACACAAAACCAAACACTTCGCGTACTGTAAAGCAAAACATATATATGTACAAAACTATGACATTACAATGATTGCTTTTATAAGAACCTACAGTTCAGAACAATAAAATATAAACTCTCTAGACTAGCTTGGTACGTACAGTGTCTCAGCTAACAGTTGTATTTACTCACAGTTGCCAAGCTGTCTTGGTTATCCATGTTCTCCCACTTCCTAATGTCTTACTCCCATGACTCACTTTGAACACACACACACACACACACACACACACACACACACACACACACACACACACACACACACACACACACACACACACACACACACACACACACACACACACACACACACACACACACACACACACACACACACACACACACACACACACACGATTTAGACCAAACCACTTTGTATCTTTGTATGCAGGTATATAATCCCCACACAGCAACCATAAACAATGTAGTGGATTGTTTGCAGACTCTGCCATGGTGACACAAGAAACATCCTTTCATCGAAGTAGCTGCAAATACAGCTGATGCAAAAACACACACAACCTAACACAAATATACGTGGTCCCGCAGCACGGTAAAACCATTGTGACCCTGACTGAGGCCCCTCTGGAGGATTCCCAGCCCCCCGGACTCAGCTCACTGCCCCCGAGATACAGCCTGCTGAAGTTTACGAGACTACAGAGACTCTCTAAAATCCCCCAGAAAGACTGCAGCTAGATGTTTGGGTGCAGCGGATTTACTCTCTGCCGGTGGTCAGTGTTGCATGTTGCTGTGTGTATCTGCCTGCGTCATGAAGGGAGTGTGTGCTGTTTTGAGATAAGGATGCAAAGGAACCACACCCAACACTATCAGTGGTAAAAATAGGTACAGTGCACAGGCATCTTACAGGGGAAACACACACGGAGCAGCCTAAAGATGTCCTGTGGAATTCCACTGCTGCATTTTGCCGGACCATTAAGATGAATGTGTCCCCCTCTGATTATTCCTATAGACACGCTTCAGGGCTCTGGGTCGAAGCAGAAGAGGAGCGAGCATACTTATCATTCTGTTTGGAGCAACGGAACAGACAATAACCTGCTCAGCAGCTCCATGGTTAACATTAGTGATATCAACACACTGTCCTCAGGATGCGACGGTGCAAGGCTCCTAATAATGAGGCTCAGAATTACCAAGTCAAATCATTCCCCTATCTCATCCCAAACAATCCTCTGCCCTGAACTCTCCCCGTCTTTAGCTCAGCCCGTCTTCCCTTCCCCATTCCTTTGCTTCTTACATTTCACTCTCCCCCTCCTCGCCTCCTCTGCTGGTGCTGCAGCAGACAGAATGACATCACCGCCTCGCTGGTGGACTGCAGTGTTCGGAAACTCAATGTATACGTATGCATGCCTATGTATGCATGAGGAGGCACGCTGTAATCCCGATCTTCTGCAATGCAAGACCTGAAGAATCATCATTTTCACAGGGGATCGATTGTCTGTGTATATGCGACAATTCTGAATGGAATCAGATTGAGTGTGTGTGTGTGTGTGTGTGTGAGGGGGAGAAATGAGACAATGCGAGGCATGAATGGGATTGTAGAAAGACTCCCACGGTTTCAAAACTGTGTTTGTGATCTAATTATAAAGAAGATGAGGATTTGGGAACACACTGTTCTGCGTCCACTGTTAGCTTCACATTGGCTATTATAACTTTGGGGTGCTATGTGTCCATCTGAAGAAAAATAATCTCCATTCATCTTTTTCTGCAGTGGCTGCTTGCTGCCATGCACACTGTGTCCGGATTTCTTACAGATAATTTAATGCTCTATGGGATTCAGAGAAATCTCAGCAGCACAGCATTCATTTAAATCATTATGTCTGAATTGTCTCTTTTTATGATTTAAGCAAACGATGGCTTCTATGGTGGCTCCGAAGGCAATCACCTACCATTTCTAGCTCAATGAATTGTTACCTAACATAGATAAGATAATAACTATTATAAAAGTGTGTACAGGCATGACAGGGTTAAGCCCCCACATAAGAGGTCTCATTGAGACAAAAGAGAGAGCCACATTTTTTCCTAATGTATTCCTGAGACAAATAATGATTCTCTCAAGCAAAGCTCTGGGAATGTTTCTCTTGGATATGGACTATTATCGACTCAAGAGAATCTCAGCATTTCTATAAGAATAACCATGAAACACACACACACACACACACACGAATCTGCAGACACAGCGCCAGGTGCAAATCATAAATATTTTAAGTGCTACCACAGCTATTTGTACAGCCAGCAGAAAGGTGAAAATAAGGTGCCTACGTATGTTCAGCATGTCACAAGTCCTGCTTCACTTGCAATCATTCCCTAAACTTTAAACATAAATCGTGCAAGCACACCAACAACTCTGGATAATATCTGCTGTATTTCCCCCAGCCAAAGTCAATACCTCAATGTATTTAAACAAACAGAACGATTGGACGGTTTCTATACGTTTTAGGGCAACACTGAACAGCGGATATGGAAATTACTGCAGAGTGCTTAAACAGACGTTTTATCACCCGATCTCTGCTGACTTGCACTTGGTCTTGAAATTGATTTCTTTCTGCTCTTTTTTTTTCTTGGGGCTTCATCTCTGCCTTCATCTCTCAGAAGCATCGCGCTGTTTCCGGCGACAGAGACGTAGTGAGTGTATAGTCAGAGGACTGAGGCCCCAGGGACCGATCAGTATTGGACACATTTACAGGAAGCTAGTGAGCGTCCCGTGATATAGCGGCTATGTTCCCCTACTCAACTCTGTCTGTATGTAAATCTGTCTGTCTGCTTCTACTCCCTCTATGTGGCAAAGCATCTTGTCCCATTTTTACTATTTACTTTCTCACACTCCCAGCCTCCCCCTCTCTGTATCCCACTGTTTGTCCCGGCCGAACTCATTGATTGTCTCTTTATATCTGGCCCTGCCTCAGCCTCTGCGCCTGTAGATGAGATTGTCATGGTTAGTGTGATCTTTTGTGGCGGGACAATGAGGGTGAAAGCCATAAGGAGGAGATAGGGTTTGGAAGCTATGGAGGAGAGGATCAAGATATGGTAAACATCCTGTGTTCAACTGCACAGTTATTATACAGAATATAACCGTCTCGAAGGACTAGAGGGAAAATGAAGTCTAGATATTAGACAGATCTGAAATCTGTAAAATGGAAGTCGAACAAGTAAAAATACATATTAAAACTTTCCTGCAATCTGCATCTTATCTGCAATGTAAACTTAACAATGCTTCAGCTACAAACAGCAGAAGAAATGTAATGTTTAAAGGGGTTGTGAGTACTATTTTTCACAGAGCTGGAAAGTATTTTTTCAAGTACTTTTATACGAGTATACACGTACTACAAGTGAACATTTGAAGTAGTCTTATCTCTTTTTGAATGTTTCTATGTTGTGCTGTACACCTCAACTACACAATTCAGAGTGAACATTTTTCAACATTTGACACCTTAATCAACTGTTATAAATTAAATTATCCAGATATCAAATGAGTAGAAACTAGCTCAATGTTGAGCATTAAAATGTTGCTTTTATGTTAAAGCTTAGTTAGATTAATCAAATTAGTATGTACAATTAGCATATAATGATCTGTAAACCTCCTTCTGCACAATAAATACTGTAACTTTCAATACTTAAGGTCCTTTCAGTAGGATACTTCATTCTTTAACAGATCATTTTGAATACATAACTTTACTTGAAACATAAACATGTTTTACACTGCTGTATTCTTATTTTTACTTCCTCCACTACTGCTTGCTGTTTTTCGTAGTTACAAGTACGTTTTGGCTTTGATCAGTGGTCACTTTTATGGTCTACCTACATGCAACTGTGTCTTATCTTTGGTAGATATTATTAAATAGTACAAAGCTGAAATGCTTAAAAGTGAAAAATCAAACCAACTACTGATACAAATGCTAAAATAACTGCATTTCCTCCTCAGACTGATGAAACACAAACGGCTACATTTCTACAAGTTGCATCATCTCTACACTTCCATTTCCCCGAGGTTATCTGCGGTTGACACAAAATTAGCCCTCAAACACATCCAGCAGGGCCTTGTGGGCGTCCGCCCTGATCTGCCATTACCTCCGCAGGCTCAGTAGATTAAACAGTCTATAGTCCTCAGTGAGGCCACACTGAAAGCATCTCATTAATTGACCCACTAATCAGTTTACTGACCTCCAGTTTACTTACCACAGCTAATCCTGGTTGACATCATACAATCTGAACATCAAACAGAGGAACAAATGAGGTCAAAAACAAGATTAAGGAGTAAAAACAGAACATGATACACACCCACAGGTATACGCACTTACACTAATCTTGGACGCACATGCATCACAACCCTCAAAGAAACTCCCAGTTGATCAAACTCCCTCATATGTTGCTAAGGGAGGCTCCGTTTGACGAGTTTGATCTGGACAGGTATGTTTGCGGCTGTAAGCAAAGATTGACCATGTTTTTTAACACTCGTTGACTGCTTTAGAGCTTTGATTAAAACCATAAGAAGTTAGTCAAGTTTTTACAAATGTCTGATCACTTCTTAAACAGGACCAATGTTTACGTCTCAATGACCTGCATCTCTTTCTCTCTCAGCCTCTCTCTTTCTATGTCACTAGGATGAGAGCATATTCAGGAATGAAAACACAAACAAGCTTTGAAAGTGAAGCTGCGGAGAAGTCTACAAAACAAGCTGATGCGGAAGCACTAAGATAAAACAAAAGGTACTTAGCAAACAGAAAACAAACCGAGAGGCGTGTGCTGAATAAGAAAATAGTTTGTACAACAAGTAAATACCTATACATCAATATTCATGTTTAAGAGACAAAGTAAATAATAAAGGACTTTAAAACTTTGAACAAAGCCAGTGACTAAAAATGTGCCCATCACTTTCTGACGTAAAAGACAGGGAGCATTGGCAGGTGCATTACATCTGAGAAATGCAACCACGGATGTTGTATAAGAAGAAAACATAGCAAAAACAACACAGCACGATAATAAGAGTGGTAAAGAAGCGTACAGGTGGAAAGAGATGATTTGAAGGGAAGGAGAGACACAGGAAAAGGGATGAAGTTAGAAGAAGGAGGAGGAGGAAGGTGAAGAGGAGACGGAGGTACTCACTCCAAAAGTGACGGTCTTGACTGGCATGCCTGTTGGCCCTCCACTCTCTCTTTCTTACGTTTTCAGTGTCTCTCAAACACACAGCTGTCTTTTCTGTTGCCCCCTGCGAGTTCTGTGGTACGGGGCACGCAGTTCCCCCATCCAACGTAAACACGGACACACACACGTACGCCCAGACACACACACACACACTTGAGTAAGCATGGTGGGTGGAGAGTCTGGGGAGGGTGGGGGTCGAGGGGACGGGGGGCCCAGGGTTTTATCTCTGGAGGAATGCTGCTTGTATCTAAAGACGCACATTTCACACACAGCCAAAGATAAAAAGGGTACGCCACGCTCGGTTTCCTGACCGCCTCCTGGCTCCTGTTTGTTTTTGATGTTTTCCTATTTCTTGAATTTCTTGCCTCAAACTTATTTTTCGTCTCCAACTTTTTCTCAACCTTCTCCTATCCTCTCTCACACTCTGCGCTCTGCTCTCTGGCTCATCTATCCTTTCCACCTTTCAGGTTTTGTTGCACCCCAATCAGTCTGCGTCACCCCAACTGTATCCCTCCTTTCTCCTGTCCCTTCTTCCCCACACGTCACGCCCTTCTATGTCTCCTGTATGTTTTGTGACAGCCAGACAATCATTTTTTTTCAGGGACCAGGCGATACCAGAATAGCGTAGTTACTGTGGAGAATGGGTGTGTTTTTCAGAGCGGCTCTGTTTCAGTCTGTGAGGTGACTTACAGTGACAAAGCGCATGGCGGAGGGGGGGGTTGCTGCCACCGCCCCGTGACAATGGGCCAGACACATGGGGTGGGGGGAGCACGGAGGGGCCAGCCTCTCAAAAGGCCCTGCCTCTTTTAATAAAGCGTCCGTCATTCCCCGCTTGAAAAGGCCTCCTTTTCTCTACCTCTCCCCTCCTCTGGCTAAATGCTGGGAAAAGCACATCGCTGCCAAAACCATGCAGAGAGATAAATGCTCGTAGGAGAGGGGAAGGAGGGGGCAATGATAGAGAAGGGTACGCACTTCTCAGTGCCGCTGGACCGTGACCTGGGCAAAAACATCACGTGGGATGTCTCTCCTGTCCACTGTATTGAGTTTGGACACAGATGGGAGCTCCACTGCCAAAGAATGTGGGGAAGGGGACTGCAGGCACTAATGTCCATGAAGTCATGACAAATTATCCTGTGGTCTTCAAGGAAAAGAGGCAACTCTTCCCCTCTGACATAAACCTCCTCTGGTTCAGCCTGCAGAGTCACTGCGCTCATCTGAGGAGAAGAAAGATAACTTATCAGGTGCTCGTGATAAGACCTCCTTTAGGTGTGGCAGGATCAAGGGAGTGATGACGAAGGTTCACTCTGGAGGTGTCTAATACCAACGACTTCAAGTTAAAGTCTCCACTCAAAATGTGCTTTGCTTATTTTAACTTTACTTCTATATTTTACTTTGCAGATTAATGTATGTACAGAGTTTGACATGTGTCTGCAGAGTGAGGAAAGTGCTTAGTTTGACAGGTGTATTCAAGCATGATCTAGACTTTGCCACTTTTTGTTCAAGTTACGAAAGTGTGAAACTGGAAGTCGACATTACACTTTTAAGATATATTTTGCACATTAAAGTTTTGCACAACAGTGCATTCAGAAACATTACCAATTAACTAAAAGTAAAACAAATATTTTAATAATGTAATCCCAATAAGGCAAACACTATTTTAAAGCATATTATTCTATGTTTGGAGTGCTTGACCCCGAAAAATTCTAATGCAAAACTCAACAAGTCATTGCATAGATGCTGATATACGGCAAATCTCTGAGAGTCAGGAGTCTGACTGACTGACAGAGCGACTGGTTCAGGGAGGTTGCAGGTCATTGTGAAGCGTAGGCCACACTCCGGTTTTGTACCAGGGTTGATTTAGGTTTGGGACAGACGTGCCCTCTGCACTCTGTGTGGAGCCCCTCTTGTTGGCAGGATAAAGGCTTCAGATGTCCACGTGAGCTGCTTGTGGTGGTTTATTGCCCGTGTCCCAATGTCTCAGGGGACGGAAAAATAGAGTTGAAAAAGTGGGGGAGGAATCAAAACAAACACTGATGGTGTGTGAGTGGTATTTCTTTAACATGTCACACTCTTTGCAGTTGACTGGCAAGAAACACACAGACATCCCACAGATTAAACGGGTCTAAATGTTTAGTAAGAAAAAAAACCTAAACACCTCCTCCATCACTGGCTGCAATGAAAACATTTTCTGTGTGCAAACCTGGTAGGGATCATGTCCATTTTGCAATATTTAAGAAGGTTGGTCAACTTATTGTGCATTTTAGCTTACTGGACGGAGTCTTCTAAAACTGTGTGTGGAGACGAATTAAAGGAAATACATGGAAGTCGACACATTATCCAAGCCAACAGAGGGGGTGGTGGCAAAGCAGCATGAGTGTGTGTAGTAAAACACATTTTGAAAGAGAAAAACAACATAGTAAATATATTTTATAAAATATATAGGCTTCAATGGAAGATTAAGTACAATCTCTATCAGGCATAACGGCCCTCTAGTGGCGGCCTGATGCTCTGCAGTGTTGGCCTGCAGCAGAGGGCAGGGCTGGGTCGGGATGATTACTGCAGCGCTGGCACCTAACTCACACTTACACACAACACATACACACTTTCAACTCCTTATCCTGTGCCACAGCACGTCCTCACAAGCTACATTAAGCCTTCTGAACTGATACAGGAGCGGTTTGAATCGGCATTAACAGCAGCGGGTGTTAGACCTGCCTTTCCTCAGCAGACAGATTACATAACACATGTCAGAGCATCCTCCCATATTTAAAAATGATCATACATAGGCTACTGTACATAAAGACGCCTCATCACATGCACCTCAACATACTAAGCCAGAATGACCTGTGGAAGACAAAAAAAAGGAAGTTAGAAATACTCGGGCGAGGAAGGAGAGCAGGAAAGATGAAGGCAATAGAGAAGAGTGGCAGCAGCAATATTTCAGAGAAGGGCTAGGCTGCCATTAATCTTCATAAGAGGGGAGGCGTAGTGGAGAGGGGAAATACAGAGTGAAGATGTGCAGGAGGAGAAAGAGATGGCATCACTGTGGACAGAATCTGTCCTCACAACTTCCTTTCCTGTGTGTGCAGTCTCTAAACACATCCTTTAAGACAAGAGCTCTAACCATCAGTTAGAGCCGGGCTCGAGTCAGCATCAGACAGGATCCCAGCAGCCAGGCCATAATTCAATCTGTTTAATGGACCCACAGCCGAAGCGGTCCAAGTTTTCAGACTCTATTTAGACCTAATGTAATGTCCCTAAACTACGAGATACAAACTGCATGGGGACGGGGAGTTCACCTGCTGCTGTTCCTGTTGAATCCCATCAGAATATAACTGTACTGTGCTCTCTGGCGAAAAAGTGCAGCAAAAAAAAAATATATATATTCAACTGTAGATTAGAGCCAACGGTTTTTTTTGACAGCAACATTGATATTAGTTTTAAAAAAGTTCAGACTGTTATTTATGGTATCAATAATGCACCAATACTTGTTTTTGTGAATATGTTAACACGCTAAGATAAAGCTTTTTTTTGTATCTATGTATTGTGATTTAATCAAAGCACATTTCTGTACAGCACCTTACTCATCAGCCAACATATGCAGAGATAAATCAATGATCATAAGATTGGCATGGCTGATGTATCGGTTTGGTGTCTCAAAGTAATATTCTTTGACAAAACTTTGTGAGTTTCCCTACTTTATATGACATCCTATTTTAAACCCGTCTTCTTGTCAGTTCTCAGCAGCCTTTACCATTTGAATGGGGAAAGTGGCTTTTCAAAGCTTTTGTTTGGGCTTGCCTCAGTGCAGCAACAGCCTCATTTCTCACCGTAAAGAGAGGAAGCGGTGAGGAAACAGGCCGGGAATAAAAAAGGCTTAAAGAAGAGATGGATGGATGGAGCAGGACTGGGCACAGCTGACAGAAGGGAGGGTGGCAACAGTGCTGATAGATACATGTTCTTGGGATGCTTCACCGAACGTGTGCCTCAGTTTCTTCTTCCACAGTCT